TTGCTTACGCCTATAGGGATCCATGCGCTTTTTAAGCATTTGACGGCAAAAAAAGTCAATCATAGGCGCCGACGTTTTTCTTGCACAAGAACCAAGCCGAAAGTTCTCACTGAGTTGTTTGCTCAGTTGTAACCTATGCTGAATTGTGTCTCTTCTCATCCTAACAGCCTCGCAAGGCAGGTGGGTGACCCTGTTTATACATAACTCCATACAACCACCTCTGGGAATTGAAGCGTTCATTCATGCCTGCATGGGCAGACACGTTCAGAAATGAATTCAGAGGTGGTTCACTGTGAATGGTTCTATAGTAACTGGGGGAGGTGCTATCTGGAGGGGGTGAAAGAATGAGTTTACGAGGGTGGGGGGTCCTAGCTGGGAACGATCTTGAGCAGCTCAATGTCAAAGAGAAGCGTCTTGTCGATGAGCCCCTGGTTCTTGAGCACAAAGTCCAACGCGCGCTGGCCCTGGGGCACGCAGCAAGCAGCAGCACGGAGTGACGGAGGGGAAAACGAGGGGGCAGTGAGTTTAGGTAGGCGAGAACAAGGGAGAAACAGCAGAAGATGGAGGACAGGAGCAGCGGCATGGGTGCAGTGCGTGTGGGTGCAGTGCGTGTGGGTGCAGTGCGTGTGGGTGCAGTGCGTGTGGGTGCAGTGCGTGTGGGTGCAGTGCGTGTGGGTGCAGTGCGTGTGGGTGCAGTGCGTGTGGGTGCAGTGCGTGTGGGTGCAGTGCGTGTGGGTGCAGTGCGTGTGGGTGCAGTGCGTGTGGGTGCAGTGCGTGTGGGTGCAGTGCGTGTGGGTGCAGTGCGTGTGGGTGCAGTGCGTGTGGGTGCAGTGCGTGTGGGTGCAGTGCGTGTGGGTGCAGTGCGTGTGGGTGCAGTGCGTGTGGGTGCAGTGCGTGTGGGTGCAGTGCGTGTGGGTGCAGTGCGTGTGGGTGCAGTGCGTGTGGGTGCAGTGCGTGTGGGTGCAGTGCGTGTGGGTGCAGTGCGTGTGGGTGCAGTGCGTGTGGGTGCAGTGCGTGTGGGTGCAGTGCGTGTGGGTGCAGTGCGTGTGGGTGCAGTGCGTGTGGGTGCAGTGCGTGTGGGTGCAGTGCGTGTGGGTGCAGTGCGTGTGGGTGCAGTGCGTGTGGGTGCAGTGCGTGTGGGTGCAGTGCGTGTGGGTGCAGTGCGTGTGGGTGCAGTGCGTGTGGGTGCAGTGCGTGTGGGTGCAGTGCGTGTGGGTGCAGTGCGTGTGTGTGCAGGAGGAGAGGGCACTGACGGAGAAGGTGGTGGGTTTGGGTCCTTGCTTGTTAAAGTTGTTGTCGGGATAGCCTATCTCCGGCGGCACAACGATCCTGGCACATGCAGGGCGTGGAGTCATTGGTGCACAGTGCACCGCAGATGAGGCACGGCAAAGGGAGGCATGTAATGCGGGAATAGAGCAGTACTGTTGAGATTAAATCCGGTCCATGGCACCATGCATGCTGCATGCGCGCCATACCCTATGGATGGCACTGAATCAATTGCAGTGTATCGAGCACTCCCTTTCAACAACCCCCCACCCCCTCCTCCCTCCCTTCCCCCCCCCACGTCCTCACCTCCTCACTCCCCCCAGCTTCATGGATGCCACGGCCTCCTCAAACGCCGGGATGACCTGCCACCACCCACACACACATGCACGCCACGTGTGCCGGTATGCCCCACATGCACGCCACGTGTGCCGGTATGCCCCACATGCACGCCACGTGTGCCGGTATGCCCCACATGCACGCCACGTGTGCCGGTATGCCCCACATGCACGCCACGTGTGCTGGTATGCCCCACATGCACGCCACGTGTGCCGGTATGCCCCACATGCACGCCACGTGTGCCGGTATGCCCCACATGCACGCCACGTGTGCCGGTATGCCCCACATGCACGCCACGTGTGCCGGTATGCCCCACATGCACGCCACGTGTGCCGGTATGCCCCACATGCACGCCACGTGTGCCGGTATGCCCCACATGCACGCCACGTGTGCCGGTATGCCCCACATGCACGCCACGTGTGCCGGTATGCCCCACATGCACGCCACGTGTGCCGGTATGCCCCACATGCACGCCACGTGTGCCGGTATGCCCCACATGCACGCCACGTGTGCCGGTATGCCCCACATGCACGCCACGTGTGCCGGTATGCCCCACATGCACGCCACGTGTGCCGGTATGCCCCACATGCACGCCACGTGTGCCGGTATGCCCCACATGCACGCCACGTGTGCCGGTATGCCCCACATGCACGCCACGTGTGCCGGTATGCCCCACATGCACGCCACGTGTGCCGGTATGCCCCACATGCACGCCACGTGTGCCGGTATGCCCCACATGCACGCCACGTGTGCCGGTATGCCCCACATGCACGCCACGTGTGCCGGTATGCCCCACATGCACGCCACGTGTGCCGGTATGCCCCACATGCACGCCACGTGTGCCGGTATGCCCCACATGCACGCCACGTGTGCCGGTATGCCCCACATGCACGCCACGTGTGCCGGTATGCCCCACATGCACGCCACGTGTGCCGGTATGCCCCACATGCACGCCACGTGTGCCGGTATGCCCCACATGCACGCCACGTGTGCCGGTATGCCCCACATGCACGCCACGTGTGCCGGTATGCCCCACATGCACGGCACCCAAGAGGCACACGGGTGGGCTCATGCGAGAGGGTTGGAGCATGCAGGGAGAAGCATGCATGGCCATGTGCTTGATTGTGAATCATGGCAGCGAGGCGGAGGCACGGAAACAGGCAATGGCGAGCACAGCAGACACAGTGTCAGCAGCAGGCGGGGTGATGGGGTGGCAGGGTGTGGGCAAGGGGTGGTAGCAAGGGGGCGAGGGAGTGGCGGGGCGCACCTCCCCTTGGCCGACGCGGTAGCGAAAGAAGTCCTTCTCGTTGCCCTGCACACACCACACACACACGGGGCGGGCGCAGCAGGGAGGGGGGAAAGGATCAGCCGGAGGCGAGTGTGGCTCTGTCACTGAGAAGCGCGCCTGTGACAAGCCGTGGCAGCCCCTCGCCCCCACCCGCACTCCAACCAACCTCGCAAGTTCCGACCCCTCCCCCCAGCTTCCCCCCTCCTGTCCCTTGGGTGAGCCTTGTCTTACGCACCTCAAAGGAGCCGCCCTTGGCCTTGTTGCGCGCCTCAAAGATGCGCCCATAGTACCCTATCGTGAACCCCGCCCAGTCCACCTGCAAAGAGAGGGGGGCAGCGCAAAGTGGGGTGCGGGGCACAGGGTGGGGAGGGGCAATGGCTTTGCAAGGTCTGGCAGGGCATATGGCACGGCAAGTATGGCAGGAAACGTGGCGTGGAAAGGAAAGCACACAAGACAAGTCAAGCAGAGGAAATGAGAGGCGCACTCACGACAACGAGGTCGCCTGGTTGAGGAGTTGGTCCCGTGCCCTCCCTCAAGTCCTGGTGGCACGCGGGCAGGGAGGGAAGCATCATCATGCGACATTAACCATGAACCATTAACTAATAACCACTGACCATCACGTCTCAACGCACAGCTCAACACGCTTCGATGGAACGATTGTGATCGTGATGCGACAACAGCATCACCTTCAGTGCCACCATGACTTGCAGTCTTACAACATCCTATTCCCATAGATCGACCATTGGACTTGCTACACCGCAGGAGCTTTTTTTGCAGCAACAGCCGTGCTCATTTCACGTAGTATTGAGTTCACACGCTCCATAACACGCCCCACCTTGCGCTTTCCCCCCCACCCCACCTTGCATTGCCCACTGCACCCCACCTTGAACTGCAGGCCGGAGTCGGTCTCAGTGTAGTCGGCATACTTCATGCGGCTCTTGCCGTAGTCCTTGCCCCTCAGCGCCGGCACTGCCGCGCCCACGCGAACACCCATACACAGTGGAGGGGCGTTGGGGGAAGGGAGTGAGGGAGAGAAAATGGGGTTGTTTTGGGGAAGGGGGAGGGGGAGGGAGGGGCAGAATGCACACCATTGGCATTCAAGAAAGCTTGTGCATTCAGTAACGCAGGAGGCTGTGCGGCACACACATGGCTGCTGCACGTACTGTCCGCGAAATTTGACTCCGTCGCCTCGGCCACGTCAGCAGGGAGCAGGGTGACGGCGACGGACGAGACGAGCGCGGAGGCAGCGGCGGCAGCCCCGCCAAGAGCCACGCCTCTGCGCCCCACGCGCGGTGATTCCTCCGGGCCCGCTGGCTGCTTTTGGTCTTCCTGCGAATCTCGCGACGGCTGCGGAAAATTGGACGAGCGGAAGGAAGCGGATGCGGCCACGTGGCGCCGCTTCGTGCGAGTCGCCAGGCACGAGACACTTCTGGACGACGCGTCGAGCTGCCACAGCAATGGCGAAAGAAAGGGAACCACCACAAGAAGGAAATGCATTTCTCAGCATTTTTACAAAAATTTCAGATTTTATGATGGACGAGGTGCGAGATTTGAGTCGCAATAACGAGGACGTCACCTCTCCGCTGGTGCTCGTCAAAAGGAGCGACGGCGCTGCTTGAACGCTCGGCATTAGGAACGCCATCACGACCTAGATACGCGAATCCGACGACGTACAGCAACGGGACTACGCTCAAGCTAATGCCACGCCTCACCGCCGCGCGAAGGGACGGGCAGCGACACGGGACTAAGGCGGAACGTGCTTGTGAACTCCCCTAGCGGCGGACTAGCTGAACGGAGGGAAGGGCGAGCGGTACAAATTTCAAGTTTCAGAAATATATTTGAGCCGCACATCGTGGTGTGCATGTATTGACAATTGACTCGCTAAAATGAGTATCCCGATATAGCGCAACCTCAACCACTTGAAAAAGACTCTCCCTCTCCACAATAATTCAGCTGAACGCCCAAGATACTGCCGAGTCCCGCACTAGTTTCCGCGTGGAATAGTCCGTGGTCCCAGCTTCAGCACTCGTTCGAATAGAACGACATTACCCATAGCAGGCGGCTTCCAGTCGCGAGTCGTGATCAGCGGCCGGCGGATCATTAATTAACGATGGAGGAGGAAGCGGACTCTCCGCTCCTTCGCTTTCTGATCGACCTTCTCAAGCCCATGTAAGCTCAATGCTAAACCTTACTGCTTCCCGCCTCCTAAATTGATGCTTCCAATTCCTTTCCGAATCGAGGACGATGCATTTAGAGCCCATTTTTCATGTTCTTAGCAGTATCGAAACCCTAGTTGTCAAAATTTTATGCCGTGGCTCGTGGGTGTGTACTGGCATTGCTCGCGCGCGCAGATCGGAGGCGGATCCGGCGCTGCTGGCGAACTACGTGGTGGCGCTGCTGAAGAACAGCAAGCCGCACGACGAGCTGCGCCGCCTCTGCCTCGACCAGCTCCAGGACTTCCTCACCGACGGTACGTCGCGCGCGGTCCATCATGAGCAATTGCACTAGGCCCTCATGGAAGGTGCGTCGTACGCAACGCATGATAAATCGCACGACTTCCCATGAGTAAGATGGAATTGTCTGAATGGCAGTCCCACCTCACGGAAGGTGCGTTATAGAGAACCATTCGCGCGCGCGGTTTTTCTCATTTGCGGTCACGCCCTAACTCATCGTCTCATTCCAGATCCTCTTGTTCGCTCGCGTCGCTTGCCTCATAGCGGCAAATTGGAGGTTTTTTGTTTAATGATCTAGCTTGCTTCAGGGGGAAAGAGGGGAACTCGTGTGCCTGACTTCGCCAATGATTTTTTAGGGTCATGCAAGAGAATCATGCGGTTGGGGTGTGTAAGATGAAGGAAACCCCTTCTGTCGTTAGTTAACCCGCCAGAATATACCTTTTTCCTGGTTTCCTCATTGCCGGGTTTCAGAAACGGAGGGTTTTGTAGCGAAGCTGTTCGACGCCCTCGAGCGCGGGGAGATCTCGCTGGAAGACGCGGAGGAGGAGACCGCGGGGGAAGACGACGACGCGGACAAGAAGCGCAGTCGGGGGGACGACGCGGAACCCGCGGAAACGAATGAGTCTGCGAGGGACGGGGGACGAGGCGGAGGGAGGAGCGGAGGCAGGCGGGGAGATGGCGGGCAGCGGGGCGCGGATGAGGAGGGGGATAGGGGGAGAGGGGGCAAGAGAAGTGGCACGTCGCGAGAAAGGGGGGTGAGGGAGAGGGCATCGGGGGATGAAGAGAAGGAGCGGGACGAAGATAAGGGTAAAGGCGGGGAGAGGGGCGAGAGGGAGTCTTATCCCGCGGCTGAAGCGGAGGCGGAAGAGAGGGCGGAAGCAGGCGGGGAGGAGCGGGAGGAGGAGGAGGAAGGGCGACGGAAGCGGCACGAGGAGGACGAATCGAGCGATGACGACGACGACAGGAACCACAAGCACAGGCGGAGAGGCGGCGAGCGCACGTTCCGCGACGAAGGCGCGGCGGGGGAAGGAGCGCGCAGCAGAGATCCCGCGGAAGGGCGCGGTAGCGTGCACTCGCGCCTAGAGGGCGCGCGGGATAGAAGAGGAGGTGACTTCAGCGGGGGTGGCGCAGGCAGGTCGTTCCGCAGCCGCGACGGCCCCCGTTCCTTCAGGCCGGGGGATGGGGGCGGCATGGGCGGAAGGGGAGGGCCCATGGGGCGGGATTTTCCCCGCGTGGGGGGACCTGGTCCGGGGCAGCCGATTCTAGGTCCACAGATGGGCATGCCGCGGTTCCCCATGGGGGGAATGCCAGGGGGAATGGGGGGGCGCGCGGGCCTCCTCAGGGGCATGCCTGGGCGCTTTGATGGGGGCCCGGGGAGGGGCATGGGGGGAGAGCAGTGGGGCATGGGGGGAGCAGCGGGCGCAATGCCTGGTATGTTACCCAGCCGGGTCGGGCCTGGGATCCCTCCCCCCGGCCTCCCTGGGGCGCCTATGCCTGGCGCGGGAATCGCAGGGGCAGGTCCGGGCATGGGGAACGGCATGGGCGGGGGCATGGGGAGGGGGTTCTTCCCTGGGAGGGGCGGGGGAGGGGGTCCGGGGCTTATCAGACCAGGGTTCGGCGCAGGGGGGCCGGGGTTTGGAATGTTCCCAGGGGGCGGGGGCGGGGGAGGGATGCCGGGAATGGGCGGGGGAAGGATGGGCGCAGGCGGAGGGGGAAGGGGCGGGAGGGGAGCAGGCGAGGAAGGGGGTGCGGGAATGGTGGGCGGAGGGGGAGCAGGTTCGGGGGGGCCCACGGGGAAGCGCGCGCGGTGCCCTGACTTTGAGGAGAAGGGGTTCTGCCTGAAGGGCGACCTGTGCCCGCTGGACCACGGCAACTACCGCATCGTTGTGGAGGACATGCAGGTGAGACGGAGGGGTGTGTAGGTGTGCAGAGGGGCGTGCAGATGCGCAGAGAGGCGGAGGACGTGCAGTTAGCAGCACAAGTGACAGGGAGGCACACGGGTGAGATGAGGCAGCATGCGGACCTTACTTAGACGCACGCTTTCATCTCAATGTCCTTCCTTAGTCTCCATCTCTCTCCATCCTCTTATCTTCTCCTTGCGTTTGTTTCTCTCTTCAACCACGCACCCGCTTCCCCTTCCACCCCCCCCACCCCACCCCAGTCCCTGCAGCAGCTCAACCTTCCTCTCCCGCCACAATCCCTCGGCATGCCGCCAAACTCGGCCGCCCAGCCGCCGCCCAGCCAGCTGGCCGGCACACGGCGACCGAGAGCAGAAGGCGGCAGGGGCGGCAGAGGAAGAGGAGGGGAAGGAGGGGGACGAGGAGGAGGCGAGAGCGGGGCAGGGGAAGGCGGGGAGGAGCAGGAGGGGGTGGGGGTATCGGCAGCAGTGGACGGGGGGGAAGGGGTGATGGCAGACGAGGGGGAGCATTACGACCCGGACGAGGCTCTGTGGGTGCATGACTCCAAGAGGGCCAAGGGCATGAGGGAAGTGCGGGCGTACGGGGGCGATGGGGCGGACGGGAACGGGCGCATGCCGGGGGGCAGGCGGGGTGCGCCTGGGGAGGTGAGCGTGTGGGACCGGATTGGGCCTGTAGGTGCTGGTGGGAGGGGCGGGGGAGGGATGGGCGGTGGTGATGGGGGCATGGGGGCAGCAGGTGGGGATGTGGGGATGGAATATACTCCTGACGGGGGCTTTAACATGGGGTACAATCCGCAGTTCCCAGGGAATTTCGGGGGTGGAATGGGGCCGGAGTTTGGAGGGAATGGAGCGGGGGAGGAAGGACCGGGCATGGGACCGGGCATGGGACAGGGAGGGTATGAGAGGAGAGGGCCACCAGGGGAAGGGGGCTGGCAGGGGGGACAGGGGCAGCCCGGGCGGGGGGGCAGAGGAGACTGGGGGGGGAGAGGAAGAGGGGAAGGGGGCATGGGCGGGAGAGGCCGTGGGGGAGGCAGCGAGCGGAACTCCGACCAGAAAGCCCACATGACCGTCTTTGTGAACGGCATTCCGTCAGAGCTCACAGCAGGCAAGGGCCTTCAAGCATCCCTGATCAAGCACTTCTCAAAGTTTGGTCCCGTGGTGGATATCAAGGTGCATGGGGACAAGGGCCGTGCGTTTGTGCAGCTGGGCGCGAGGGAGCATGCAGCAGCGGCCATAGCAGCTCCAGATGCGGTGCTGGGGAATAGGTTTATTAAGGTGTTCTGGGCTAACTTTGATCTTCAACCTGATCCTGCCTCTGCTGCTGCTGCGGCAGCGGCGACTGCCGCTGCAGCGGCTGCTGCGGCTGGTTCGGTCGGGGAAGGAGGCCCGGGAGCAGGGACAGGGGTGGAGGGTGGGAAAGGGAGCGGCAAGGGTGATGCTAGTGCTGGGAAGGGTGGGGCGAGTGCAGGGGGGTCAGCGGCAGCAGCAGCAGCAGTTGACCCAGCAGAGGCAGCAGCAAAGGCGAAGGCGAAGTTGGAGGAGTTGAGAGCGATACAGAAGAAGAAAGAGGCGCTGCTGCGGGAGCAGATTGAGAAGCGCCGGCTGTACCTGGAGCGACTCAAAGAGGCCAGCCAACAGAAACAGCCCACTGCTGCTGCTGCTGCTGCTCCAGGTGCCTCCCCAGGTGCTGCTTCAGGTGTTTCCACGGCAGCAGGTGGCAGCGCAGCGCAGGCAGCAACAGGCGGTACAGCAACTCCTGCTGCAGGTGCCACTACAGGTGACGCTGGGGCAGCACGTGTGGGGGCAGGAGCAGCAGGGGCGGAGGGAGCAGCAGCAGGAGCAGCAGCGGCAGTGGCAGCAGCAGCAGCAGGGGGCAAAGCAGTGGGCGCGTCTCCCAGTGCCCCGTTTTCCCCTCACTCTCCTGCCGGCCCAGCACCCTACATGGGCGGCAGAGGGAGAGGGCGGGGCGGGTACGGTGGTTATGGAGGCGGGTACCACTACGGGTGGAGCGGAGGGGGGGGGGGGGGCGGGAGCGGGTGGGGGCGCGTGGGGGAATAAGTTCAAACTGGACAATCGCACCACCGTGGTGCGCGTCACACCGCCCATTCCTGACGCCATCACTGAGGTGAGCAAGGGGGGGGCACGCTGGTTGCAGTTTTTGGAGTCAAACAATGCAATCACACTCCCCTCCTTTGTCCTTCCCCTTCAATTCTCATCCCACCGTGCAGGCCAGCATGCTATGGGAGCACTTCAGTGCGTGTGGGGAGGTGGTGAGCGTCGAGGTGGAGGGCGGCGGCACAGCTGTCACGCCGACCAGCGCCGTCCGCGTGCGCTTTGCATCTCGTCCCGTAGCGGAGTATGCGTATATGAACGGGAGGGTGCTGGCGTCAGGTGATGCACTCACTCTCGCCTGGGGCCCTCCTGCCACCACTCCCCATGCTCCTACCGTTGCTGCTGCCACTGCTGCTGCCTCTGCTGCTGCCTCTGCTTCCCCTGCTGCGGCTGGTGCAAAGGCAGCAGGTGTTTCGCCCCTTAAGGTGGCAGCAGGGGGGGTGCAGAAGGCCGCAGGAGGAGTGGCATCAGCAGCAGCCCCATCAGCAGCAACATCAGGGGCAGTATCCTCTGGAAGTGCTGCCGTAACTGCTCCTCAGTCTGCTGCCAACGGCACTAATGCTGCTGCTGCTGCCCCTTCTGCTGCTGTTGCTGCTGCCAGTGCCGGTGCTGCCTCAGGTGCCGGCACAGCTGGTGGGGGATCAGCAGAGGGGCAGTAGCAGGAGCAGGAGCAGGAGGGGCAGGGGTGTAGGATGGGCACCAAGACACGCTATTTAGAAAAGAAGGTGAGTGAGAGGGGCTGCCCTGGTGGGTGGCTGGTCTCTCTCGCCTCGCTACGACCTCATTGCTGCGCGCCTCACTGGGTGATTGGCTGGGCCTCACTCACGTGCACTCTTGACATCATTGTCATGCGGCAATTCCTCTTGCGTGGAGGTGCACGCAACAGGAATGCTCTCAACATGCGTGCGCCTCCTCGTTCCCATTCTAGACTCGACTCAGTTGGAGCGCAGGAGTTGCCTGCATTGCTTTCTTTGTTTCTGTTAAATTGACGTGTTGTAGAGAAGTAGATTCAATGCTAGGTGTACCGTACTTGTGGACTTGATAGGGTGGATATCTGACCAGCTGATGTGGCTCTAATGTTTCTGATTCACAATTTAATGTCACTGATTTGATTGTTATCGAAAGCAAAGTGGAAGCTCGGGCTGTTCATACCGGATATACGTTTCCTTCCGTTCATGCACTGTGTGTGTTTGCCGGGGGGCAATCACTCATCGAATCTGCATTAATGGCGAGGCACGTCGCGCTCATCCGCGCGGTTAGGTCCGGAGCTAGGCTCGGCGAGTCCGGCAATGCTTTCCTGCCGTCGCGGTTGCTCGCGGGTGGCCGTCAGATAGGACGGCCAGAATGCGGTCTCAGTCACTCCGCACCCGCCGAGCGCGCGGAAGTCGACCGCTTGTTCTTGGGGGGAGATCCGCGCGGCTATCCGCGCACTAGCGCGCGCTTCCTATCCTCCGTCGCCTCCTCAGAGGCAGACTCTGGAATTGCGCCTTCAACGCGAACTCAATCCGACGGCTCCCCGCACGCGCCGGCAGAATTACCTTCAACTCCTACTTTTGCCGGCTCAGAGCACCTTGACCGGCTGGACAGACGGCTGACCGTCACAGGTGCCGGAGACAGGGCGGGAGAGGATGTCACGACGGCCACGGGGCACGCTGATGTCCATGAGAATCCGAGAGGGAATACAGGCAGATCCGATTCCAGCAGCTGTGCTGATCGCTACCATGATAATGATGGCGGCACGGGAATGCGCCATGGTGACATGGATTGTAGTAGCGGTTGTTTGAGCGGCCTTGCGTTTGGATCGAGTCGCACGGATCCTAGGGATTGCCGAGATGGTGACGTTTCAAGCGGTACGAGCCATTCAGCAAGTGACATGCGGTATGGCCGTGAGAAAGTGGGTGAAATTGCGTCATGTGCTACTGTTACAGAGACCACCATACCATCTGTAGCCGCTACAGACGCCGCGCCGGCTGTAGCAGTGGACGAGAGCAACGTCTCGACTGCTCTTGGCACAGCCACGTATGTGACTGCCACGTATCGTCTCTCTATTGGTGGACCGACAATATCAGCATCAGCAGAAGCAGGATCAAGAGAAACAGCAATAAGAGAAGCAGCTGCAGCAGCAGCAGCGGCGGCGGCGGCAGTGAGAGAGCTTGCTGCAAGGCTGAGCGGCTCGCCATCCGTGGTGGCTGCATTTTTTTCTGGGGCAGGTGCATCTGAGGCAGGTGCATCTGAAACAGGTGCATCTGAGGCAGGTGCATCCACAACAGGCGCTGTGCTGGATGCGCTGGGGCGAGAGGTGGAGAGGGCTTGGGGAAGGGGAGGAGGAGAAGGGAGCGCGGGAGGGGAGAGCATTCCTTTCTTTGGGTGCGTGGTTGGTGGCAGCATGGCGCATGGGCCATGGGGCGGCGAGGGGGAGATCATGGGGGAGGCACTCACAGGTAGAGTAGGCCGTAGCGATGCGCATGGCATGGGGAACCACAGCAGGGATGATGCTGATGCAGATGAGGGTGAGGGGGAGGGGGAGGGAGAGGGAGAGGCATTGGAGTGGGAGGAGGTGGTGATGGCGGCGGCAGCGGACAAGGTGATAGAAGGCGTGGTGCTGCTGGAGCTGATTGAAGACGCTGACCACATCATCCGGGAAATGGCCGCTTTTGCCCCGCACGAGGAGGGAACGCAGCTGGGCGAGGAGGACACGCAGGAGAGGCACGAGGCAGGGAAGGTGACTGGGGAGCTCAACTGCGGCCAGTTCAGCCCTGCGGCTTCCCCTGTGACCGCCTCCTCTGTTCTCTCCGCTCCTCCTTTCGCAGAACCCTCTAACTCGTTTGCTGAGTCTATCCGAGCAATCACAGAGGGCCACGTGGCACAATCTGAGGGCGCGGTTACCCAGCGCCTGGAGGCAGCTTCCAGGAGATTTCTGGGGCTTGCAGAGGGCCTGCAGACGCGTTTAGAGGCGCCTCAGTACAAGCTGCAGGGGCTTGCGGACTCCATACAGGAGCGAATCTGGCCCAACAATGGAACCGTGCAAGGAAAAGAGTTGCTGTCAGCAAGAGGAGCTGTTTCGTCTAGAGGGGATGGTGTGACTGAGAGGCTGGAGGGGAGAGGAGAGGAAGAGCGGGAGGTGGTGGTGGTGGTGTGCGCTGCTGCCATGCCCAGTGTGGACGTGCAGGCCTTTGAGATTGAGGGAGACGCGTTTCCGGATCTGGGCGGCAACATGGCGCACATGGTGACAAGCAACGCTGCCCATTTTGTGGTTGCAGGGACGGGAGGTAAGGGGGTGATGTGATGTGATCAGTGCGCTCTCACAGGCCTGCAGCCACATGACTACCCATTCACCTCACCCCCTCTCCTTCCTTCGCTGCACTTTCTTGCCCCTCAACCTCCCTCTAGCCCTCTCCCTGCACTTGTCCCCCCCCCATTGCTGCCGCCCCTCCCTGCAGGCCCCTCACTGCCCAGGCTCCTCACGCGCCTGCACACCATCTTCCCCCACTCCTCCAGGTGAACCCGCCTAACCCCCTCTCCTCGCCCCATTCCTACTCGCCCCATTCCTCCTCGTCCCATCCCATCCCTCTCACCCCACCATGTGGTGGCTTTCCTCGCCATGCCACATTGCATGCAACACTTTCTGCCACATCACGTGCCACATATCATGCGCCATTGACTGACTCGCATGTCTTTGCCGCCACCGTCCGTCCGTTCTGCCTCTCCCCCCACAGGGCATCGCTGCTCACCCACAACCATGCTGTCCACATGCACCGCGCCTGCGCGGCATCGCCCCCAAACGGCTCCACTGCCGGCCTCTGCTTCTCCCTGAGCCCCTCTGGTAACCACCCGCTGCTTGCGCCCCTCACACCATTACACCTGTGACCTCTACAATCTCAGGCGTTTTGAAGTCGGTCAACTGTTGCTGCATTCAGCACCATCTCTCATGTCCCTGGCGCTCATGTATCCATCCTTGTGCATCTTCCCTCCCTTTTCCTGTTGGGCCTCTCCCCCCGTTCTCCCTCCCCCTGTGCCTCCTTTCCTGCCTCCTCCCTGCCTGCACCAGCGGAGCAGCAGAGCAGCGATGCCCTGCAGGCGTGCTTCACGCACTTCATCCGCCACCTCACCCTCCCCCTCACCCCCGCCACGAGCCTCTGTGCCTCCTCACCTCCCTCGCTCACCACTGCATCTGCTGCTCTAAGCATGGACATGCCTGCAAGGGGAATTGCACCCCCTGCCCCCTGGCTTCGTGTTAAGTAAGCCTCTGCACACCTTGCCAGTCCAGTTTCCCAATGCAAGTTACCTTGTTATTCTCGAAAATTGCCACCGACTTGGTACCGTGCCTGTCCCACCTATGCCTTCCTCTCCCTTCACTCAGCGTCTCCCTTACCTTCTCCCCCATCATCTTATGCCGCTCCATGTGTTACACACCGCTTTGTCTGCCAGCAAGCCGTTGGGAGCCTCTTTGCTTGCTTTGTTAAAACCAAATGCTGCTGAGCTTGTCCATGAGCCGAAAGCAGCAGAGCCGTGTGTGACGACTAAAATGTAGCTATGGATATGATGACATGACTGAGCTGATATGTAGTACGTATCTTATATATATGGAAAGCGGTTTAATATACACCTTGCTGCTGATACCAGTAGTACTTCTGGTATGCCTCTAAATCGCGAACGCAATTTGTGGTGGCACTTCGAAACACGTGGACGAATTACTCGCCACCACAATCTGACCAGGGGCGCACAATCCCAATGCTGGGTCGCGCGCGCAGCTCCTGCGACGCAATTGTGTGTTGTGTCGCTGTGCGAACAACCTTGAATCCCGAAGCCATTGTTTTTTTAGTAGGCTAGGCTTTTGTTTGCGGCTTCAACATCGTTAGGCTAGGAGGCGATCGGAGCTACACTTCTTGCGCTGGATGCTTGTTCTTGGCCGGCTTCACCGCTTGCCAGCCATGATTGCGCTTCGGTCGCCATTCCGTCTCGGAGCAATCAAATCGGCAGCCACATCATTGTCGCCTGCCACTGCCGCATTAACATCGTCGCCTGCCACTTCCGCATTAGCGTCGTCGCCTAGAAGATTAGACTCACGAATTTCACGTTCACCGAATGATGAGTCTCTCCTACTATCATCTAGACCGTTCCTTTCGTCCGCAAATTCCATAACCCCTGTTCCACGCCACACCCCCGTAACCCTCAAATCAACCGGTTCTAGAACCCTCTGCTCGTCGATAAGAGCAGCAGCGTCGAGCGCGGAGGGCGGAAGCAGCGGCGTGTCCGTCGCACAGGCAGCTCCCGTGAATGGAGCATCTGAGCCGACCGTTTCGGCCGAGTCAGGCGGAGCGGGATCGAGCGAGGGGAAGGCTGCTGTGAGGTGAGAGAGCGAAGGTCCCTGGAGTAGGTCGGCTGCAGGCAATGCTTCAGCACGTGGCAAAAAAACAGCCGGTTTTCTAGGATTTATCGAAAACCGCCTGGTTGCTGCTCTGGGGTCGTCTGGTGGACCGTTGTATCTGAATTGGATTTGATACCGGATTGAGCCTTGCGCGTGAGCTAGTCCCCCGTTTTCTCCTCCGCTCGTTCCTTCTCGTTTGTACTCTGTTTAGAAAGCGTCTCGTTTCAGGCGTCCAGCCGACGGGAAGCATTCATTTGGGAAACTACTTGGGCGCAATCAAGAACTGGATCCCGCTGCAGGTGCGTCAGCCATCATCCAGGAGTTAATTTCGTTAGATAGACTTCCCGGTTCCGCAGTGAAAAACGTTTGTAGCTCTGGTCATGTCCGCGTGGTGTGTCTTGACGACACAACTCCATCAATCTCTCTCCCTTATTGCTATTTCATCGCGTGGCGTGGCGTGACACTGCATGGTATGGCATATCATGCGTATGCGACAATGCATGTGTGTGTGGGGGAGTGCAGGACGAGTGTGACACATTCCTCTTTGTGGTCGACTTGCACGCAGTAAGTGCTGCTTTATACACCTTTCAATGATGTGTACATCAAAAGGGTCCTTTTTGCAACAACAGCATCCCTGCCTGCCGCTGTTATCAGGACCTCATTGCACTTAACGCTGCAAAAGCAAGAGAAACGCATCATTCCTGGCTGCCATTGCTCTCGCCTCTCATTCCAGGTCCCCCCACCCTCATTGTCTGGCTAGCTTCCTCGTTCCCTATCCCACGCCCTCATTCTGCCTCTCCAACTCGTGTCCCGTTCCTCATCAAGCCATTATTTCAATCCTCTTTCTGCCTACAACCCTATCGTATCTTGCACTTTTTGTATCAACGTCCCTTTCTCTCGTCCTAGCTCACTCCTCTTACTACCCAGTAATCCCATCATTCCTGCTTGTCTCCCCACCTGCAGATCACGCTACCCCATGACGTGGACGACCTCTCACGCTCATCGCGCACAGCAGCAGCCATGTACCTGGCGTGCGGGGTGGACCCCTCCAAGGCCACCGTGTTTGTACAGTCGCACGTACGAGCACACGCGGAGCTGACGTGGCTGCTGTCGTGCACGACGCCCATGTCATGGCTCAACAAGATGATTCAGTTCAAGGAGAAGGCGCGCAAGGCGGTGAGACTGCACTTACTGAGTTTTGAGTCAATTCATGTCGTGGCTCAATAAAATGTATCAGTTCAAGGAGAAGGCCTGCAAGGCGGTGAGCCTCCCCACCTGCAGGCTTGTAGGCTGTGCGATTACGTTACCACCTCCACTGATTTGTTAGAGCACCTTTTGTTGTGAGACCCCTCTTGGCCCGAATGACACCCTTCAGTGCACACCTGGTCTGTCCACCCTCTCTCACCCCGCCCCCCCTCTGCGAGCATGCAGGGCGAGGACGTGGGAACAGGGCTGCTCACCTACCCCCTTCTCATGGCGGCAGACATCCTCCTCTACCAGGTTCGTCACTTCGCTGCCCAGTTGCTTCTCCAGGTGCTCATTCACCGCCCAGGTTCGTCTCCAGGTGCTTATTTGCTTCTCATATGTGTGGCCACTCTCTTCATTTCTCCTTGCCTTGCCATGTGTGCGTCCCTTAAATGCTTGCCACATGCAGTGTGATGTGGTACCGGTGGGCGAGGATCAGAGGCAGCATCTGGAGCTCACCAGGGATGTGGCTGCACGGATCAACAACCTCTATGGCGGCCGCAAGTGGAAGAAGCGTGGAGGGTACGTCCCCTGGTCCACTCCACACGCACGTGCATAAGGCCTTTGTAAACCACAACCGCACTCGCATGCATGGCCCTTAGCAATAAACCACACCCCAGTACGAGCTCATGGAACTTCGCCCTCTCCACACCGCACACCCACACATGCATCGCATGGCGCTTTTCCCCTCCCCACGCACGCTGCTCTGCGAGTCCGCCCCATAAATAGAGAGGCAGCTTCTGCTCTCCCCCCACTGCTGGCTGTTGCCCTTCTTCCCTCCATGCACAGGCGGGGCGGCAGGGTGTTCAAGGTGCCTGAAGCCATGATCCCCCCTGCTGGAGCTCGCATCATGTCCCTCACAGACGGCACTTCCAAGGTAAACAGTCCAACCGTTTATGTCTTCCCTCCCCCTTTCATTTCACATCAGCAATTCATGACGGATTTCTTTGCCAGTACACAGGCTCATACCATGCAGAATCACTTGTCATCCTGCCCGTACTTCTACTCAAGAGGCCATCAGTATCCCATTCTCATGCCACGTGCATGTTAAGTGCCCACATGAACTCCCCATTCACAACGCCCTTCTCACCTCTGCCCTCGAGCTCCACCCCCTGTCACTGCACTGCACCACCATGCGTGCAGATGTCCAAGTCAGCCCCGTCGGACATGTCCCGAATTAACCTGCTCGACCCTCCTCAAGTGCGCCCTCTCTTCCTACACCCCTCCTCCGTCTATTCCTCACTTTCTCCTCTTGCCTACTGCCCTCGTCTACGCCCTCCCTTCCTCCACTCGTCCTGCACCTTTATCCTTTTTTCCTCGCTCGCGTCCTCATTCATGCCCTCCCTCTCCACTCACCCCACCTCTACTGCTCGCAGCATCCATAGCTGTCCCGCCTTGCCCATCGCTCAGCTCCACTCCAACCTAGGCGGCCGCTGAACTGAACCCCCCCTCACCTCTGCCGCTCCTCCCTGGCCGATGTGCTGAGTGCAGGTGATAGCCAACAAGATCAAGCGCTGCAAGACTGACAGCTTCACCGGGTGAGCAAGGGTGGTTGGGTGAGCAAGGGTGGTTGGGTGAGCAAGGGTGGTTGGGTGAGCAAGGGTGGTTGGGTGAGAGAGGGCGTCGGTGAGAAGCCGGTGTTCTGATTTGGGGGCAGTGGGAAGGTGGGAGTGGTGGTATGGAGGGCGTTCCCTGAGTGGGATTTCCCCGAGCGGGCTTTCCCCGTGCGGGCTTTCCCTCGTGCGGGCTGCGGGCATTCCCCGTTCCCCACGCGGGCTTTCCCGGTGTGGTGCAGGCTTTCCCCATGCAGGCTTTCCCCATGCAGGCTTTCCCCATGCAGGCTTTCCCCATGCAGGCTTTCCCCATGCAGGCTTTCCCCATGCAGGCTTTCCCCATGCGGGCTTTCCCCATGCGGGCTTTCCCCATGCAGGCTTTCCCCATGCAGGCTTTCCCCATGCAGGCTTTCCCCATGCGGGCTTTCCCCATGCAGGCTTTCCCCATGCGGGCTTTCCCCATGCAGGCTTTCCCCATGCGGGCTTTCCCCATGCGGGCTTTCCCCATGCAGGCTTTCCCCATGCGGGCTTTCCCCATGCAGGCTTTCCCCATGCGGGCTTTCCCCATGCAGGCTTTCCCCATGCGGGCTTTCCCCATGCGGGCTTTCCCCATGCAGGCTTTCCCCATGCGGGCTTTCCCCATGCAGGCTTTCCCCATGCGGGCTTTCCCCATGCGGGCTTTCCCCATGCGGGCTTTCCCCATGCGGGCTTTCCCCATGCGGGCTTTCCCCATGCGGGCTTTCCCCATGCAGGCTTTCCCCATGCGGGCTTTCCCCATGCAGGCTTTCCCCATGCGGGCTTTCCCCATGCAGGCTTTCCCCATGCGGGCTTTCCCCATGCGGGCTTTCCCCATGCAGGCTTTCCCCATGCGGGCTTTCCCCATGCAGGCTTTCCCCATGCGGGCTTTCCCCATGCGGGCTTTCCCCATGCAGGCTTTCCCCATGCGGGCTTTCCCCATGCGGGCTTTCCCCATGCGGGCTTTCCCCATGCGGGCTTTCCCCATGCGGGCTTTCCCCATGCGGGCTTTCCCCATGCGGGAAGAAGAAGAGAGAGGATGATGGGGGTTGAGTGGGGGAATGCAGTTCAGGTCACCCGTTTTCCCTCTTCTGCCCTTGTGCACCACAGCGAGGTGCTGTGCACATTCGCACCCTTCATCTTCCTCCTCGCTTCACTGCCCCTCCCTCCCTCCACTCCCCGTGGCACGTCCTCACTCAACCACCCCGTGCAGCATGGAGTTTGGCAATCCGGAGCGCCCCGAGTGCCAGAACCTGCTGTCCATCTACCAGATCGTCACCGGGAGAACCAAGGAGGTCAGTGGAGTGGGCAGGGGCGGGGTGGCTACTGAGTCGACTCGTAAGTCACCCCAAGCGCCCAGAGTGCCATGATGTCCATCTACCAGATCGTCACCGGGAGAACCAAGGAGATCAGCCCAGAGGGCAGAGGCAAGGGCAGGGAACGGGAAGGGGGAACGGATGGGTGGAAATGAGAGCGGAAACGGAGATGGGAGAGGGTGACTGGAGAGCTAACAAATGGGAGCATTCGCATTCTACTAGCATTTATGATGTCGTCAACCTGACCGGATTTTTTTCTCGTATCGGCAGAGTTAGATTCGTACCTTCGCTTTAAAGCGACCCATGCCCATGCCCATCTTTCCTTTCTCCTCTCTTCCTGTCCCCTAGCATGCACTCCTTGTCCTCACTTCCCTCTCTTGTGCCCGCCTCCCTTGTGGTCCTCCTCTCTTCCTATCCCCCTCTCTTCCTATCCCCCTCTTCCTATCCCCCTCTCTTCCTATCCCCCTCCCTTCCTATCCCCTCACTTCCTGTCCTCATCTCTTCCTGTCCCCCTCTCTTCCTGCCCTCCTCTTCCTGTCCTCCTCTCTTCCTGTCCTCCTCTCTTCCTGTCCCCCTCTCTTCCTGTCCCCATCTCTTCCTCTCCTCCTCTCTTCCTGTCCTCCTCTCTTCCTGTCCCCCTCTCATGTGGCCCAAACCCCTCTATGCAAGCCAGGAGGTGGAACAGGAGGTGGGGGCGCTGAGCTGGGGGCAGTTCAAGCCGCTGCTGGCAGACGCCCTTGTTGCTCACCTAGAGCCAATCCAGGCAAGCCATGTTTCCACTAGTTCTATCAAGCACTGTCCTGCATCAATACTGTTTTTTTTTTTTTTTTTTTTCACAAGAGGTCGTTCGGCTTTCATCTTACCCCTCCGGCCCACCCACCCCTCTCACTTTCCTCCCTTCTGTCTCTCATTTGCCAGAAACGGTACGAGGAGGTGACAGCAGATGCAGCATATCTGGATGAGGTGCTGGCAGGGGGAGCAGCACGAGCCAATGAGATTGCTGACCGCACACTAAGGGACACATATGACGCATTGGGATTTTTGGCCCCTCCACGTAGATAACACAATATTGAAAGTTCTGGCACTGCAGTCCAACAGAAAAGATCTTAGTGTATGTTATCTGCACTAATATGTTGTGCCATCCATCTTACCTGACATAGAGACACCTCCCTAGTGAATGTTTTTAGCAAAAATTATCAGTCATATTGTAGATTCCGTGCCCTGTTAACACTCCTTCAGTGCAGGTTATCGGGTAACAAACGAACAATGCGAAGAACACACATCCACGACCTGACGGATATTCACTCCAACGAGCTGGGCGCTTTTTCGCCGATCACTGTAGATGTCAAGACCCTCGGGCAGGTCGAAACTCTATCGACGGCCGAGAATCTATCTCCAGCATCTCAGACAAAACTTTCCAGGCCTTGGGAATGGATCGAGGCGGTAAAACCCTCAAGGTGGGCAGCAGGTTGGGTTGTCAGATAAAAAGAGGCAGTCATCTTTTAGAGGGTTCCGCTGCTGCTTGTGCAGCTGTTCTCAGCTATAGCCTCTTGCTTCTGCCTGCCGCTCCCTCCGCTCCATCGTCACTCGCAGTCGCACTCGCACGCCCACGGCTGTGCTCCACCCTCCATGTCCGACGTGGCTCGAACCGCCCAACCCACCAGGTTCAGTCAACACGGAGCACCTCTCCCCACTTGCCTGTTCGCTTCCCTGCTTTTATAACTCGCCGCCGCAATCCCCTGTGCACTTGGTGTTTAGACCTAATCGATTGCTCGCATAGTTGCTTAGCTTGGTTTGCGCCGTCTCGACTCTCGTGTCGTTTTAGTCGTCAATCGTTCCAAACCAACATGATCCGTGACTTAGGCTGCTTCCTCTCTTATTCCTCGAGTTTCCCCCGTTCACCATCGCTGCTCCTATTGTTTTCTTATCGTCTCTGCACTTGCCTTGCTCGATGGAATAAACTGGTCACTATCAACACTGGCCCCTAGCGTCTAGTTAACTTGCATAATTACGTCAAGTTTATCGCTGCTTCAGCCATGTTGTTTCGTATGTTTCTCAATCATGACGTTAAGCTTACTTCCATTCTGTTTCTCCTCCCATTTGCTGCGTTTTCTCTTGTCCTCGCTCAGGTGTTCCTTTTAGAACGTCGTCGTCGCCACGTGGATCGTGGTCCGTTATTTGCGGCGAGGTTGGAGACCAAGACTGCGTAGCTTAAAGCGGTAGTTCTTCTTCGACGTTCTGCCGCTAGTCGTCACGCATTAGGGTAGCACCATCCGTGGTTTCAGTCAGCTAGCCCCGCGGAGTTGTCTTACCTCTACCGTCAACATTCTCTTTTCGTTCACGATAGCCGGTAGTTTCTGTCTACGCCCCTGGAGCAGCACACCTTAGATCGATCGCATTAGTCTCCGCGACCGTCGCCGCCGCTAGATTACGGCCGCTTCCCAACGATCTCTTTTTCTCTTAGCGAGCAGCTGCAGTTCGAATAACGACATTTGACGACAGATCGACGAAATCGGCAAGCGGGTCAACCGTCGCTACAGCAAAAGTCGCATTTTTACCAGCATCGGGTATCTTTTATCCCCTCCGTTTGAATCTGGTTACTTTCATGGACAGACGCTCAAATCCCTCCCTACCAGGGAATTCCCTTCTCGCCTCCACACTTCCCTCTCAACCACCCTTATCGTCGTCTCTCCTCGCCCCGTCCTCCGTTCTCCCCCCGACTATCCCCCAAGCGGGACTCATTTCCGCGAACCATCAGGCAACGCAATTTAGTTCCGCCATCGCATCTGGCGCAAGCGTGAACCCCGCGATTTCGCAAGCTTCCGCCTCGCGGCCAGTTGCGCCTGCGCCCGGTAGAGTTCCGCGGATTGCGCAGGTAATGTCAGCGCGGGTAGCGCCTCAGCCGCCGCTACAAGCCTCCCCTTCCCCGCAACTGGCGCCTGGTCAAGTGTCCGCTTCGCCGCAGCCTTCCCCGCAGCAGATGCAGCAGGCGCTGCAAACCCAAAGGCAGCAACAGCTCCAAGCACAGCAGCAGCATTTGATGCAGTCGCAACAGGCGGGTCAAACGCCGAATCAGCAGCAGAACTCACAACCCCAGGCGCAGCAGCAGCAGCAGCAGCAGCAGCAGCAGCAGCACACCCCGCAGAAGCCGTCGCTGCTGCACCCCCTCCCGCCGCGCGTGCACCAGCAACCGAGGCCTATAGCCATTCGGCCAGTGCAGGCAGCGGGGCAGCAGCAGGCGCAACAGCAGACGCAGCAGCTGCAGCACCAAACGTCACCACTCGCTTCGAGAATATCCCCGCAGCAGGCGCAGCAATCAACGCAGCAGATGCAAGCTCTGCAGCAGCAGGGGCTGCAAGCTCCGGGAAGCTTCCCTTCACCTGCGCAGCAGCCCATGCCAGCGACTCAGCAGCAGCTGCAGCAACGGCGGCAACAGCAACTTCAGCAGCAACAACAGCAGCAACAACAGCAGCAACAGCTGCAGCAACAACAACAGCAGCAGCAGCAGCAACTTCGGCAGCAGCCGCAACAACAGCAGCAGCAGCAGCAACAGGGGCAACACGGACAGCAGGGAAATTCGCAGGTACAAACACAGCAGCAGCTGATGAAGCAACTGCAGCCGTTGTTGCTGCAGCAGCAACAGCAGCGCCAAGCGCAACAGTATACCCAACAGCAACAGCAGCAGCAGCAGCAGCAGTTGCAGGCAGAAATGCTCCAGCAAGTTCAGACCTCGTCACCACAGCAGCAGCAGAACCACTCTCATCCGCCACTGTTACCGCAGCAGCAGCACCAGCAACAGCAGCTTGGAGTCCAACAGCAACAGCAAAAGCCGCAACAGCATCAACAGCAGCAACCAATGCAGCAGCAGCAGCTAAGACAAGCACAGCAGGCAGCGCCGACGCAGGTGGACCAGCAGCTGAGTGTGGCGCAGCAGAGAGCGCTGCAGCAGGACCAGCTGCTTCAGAAACTCACTCCCCAGCAGAGGCAGCTGCTCTCTCAGACGTTTCAGCAACAGCAGCAGATGCAAATACAGCAGCAGCAACAACAACAGAGCGCCGCCATGCATGCACAGAACCACTCGCAGCACAAGCCCCTGGTTCCCAAGCCCCAGGTGCTGCCCCCGGCATTGCTTCCGCTGTATCAGCTGCACCCTCCGCAACACCTTAGCTCCTCGGCCCAGCAGGGCAACTCATCTCAGGTGGCAAACTCGTCCCGCCCTGCGCAGGCGCAAGTGCAGAACCAGAGTGCTCTGCAGGCGCAGCAGGCGCAGGCTAGAGGACAGGCGCAGGCACAGGCGCAGGCGCAGAGGCAGGGGGGTGCAGAGGCGCCAGCAGCAGTGGCTCAGGCGCAAGGGGGTGGGCAGCTGCGGCTGCCTGGTGTGGCAGGGGTAGCGGGGATGCCAGGGGGAGCGGGGATGGCAGGGGGGACGGGGGTGGCAGGGGTGGCAGGGGTGGCAGGGGGAGCAGGACAGCAGGTGAAACCCCCTATGAGCGCAGCAGCTAAGCAAGCTCAGGCGAGGATGACACAGGCTCAGCAACAGGCGCAAGCGCAAGGACAGGTACAGGCACAGCAACAGGCGCAGCAGCAGGCACAGGCACAACAGGCGCAGGCGCAGCAGGGGCAGCAGGGGCAGCAGCAGATTAATGCGCAGAGGCAGCGGTTGCAGCAGCAGGTGGAAGGGTTCTTGCAGCAGAAACAGGGGCAGGTACAGGGACAGGTGCAGGGACAGGTGCAGGGACAGGTGCAGGGACAGGTGCAGGCGGTGCAGGTCCCACAGCAGCACGGGAAGGTGCAGCAACAGCAGCAGCTAGTGCCAAAGCCACAGCAACAGCAGAGAGCGCAACTGCAGCAGATGCAGCAGCAGGCACAAGCACAGGCACAGGCACAGGCACAGGCACACAGAAATGCACAGGCACAGGCACACGGAAATGCACAGGCACAGGGCCACGCACAGGCACAGCAGCGGGCGCAGCAACCGCAAGCAAGGCGAGCACAGGCTGGATCTCAAAACCCCCTCGAGCTCCCCGCCCTCTCTTCCTCCCGCCTGCCCCGACTCACCTCGCCGCCCCCTCTGCCCAAGCGGCCAGCCGCACAAGTGACCCCTGCAGCTGCAGCAAAGGCTGAGAACCGAACCAGTGGTGCTTCCACTGGCCTCTCTGGGGCAGCACCTGGGTCAGCAGCACCTGGGCCAGCAGGACAGGGTGCTGGATCTGTGGGGATCAAGAGAAGTCCTGCTGTGCCAGGTGGCGCCATCGCAGAGGTGAAAGCAGGTGCAGTGGGCTCACAGCAAACAGTGCCGGGGAGAGGTGCTGCTGATACCAAGGCTGCAGCGGCTGCAGCAGCAACGGCGGCAGCGGTGGCGGCGGCGGCAGCAGAGAGGGAGAAGCAGAGGCGACGGAAGCTGCAGATGAAGGCGCTGCAGGCTGTGCTGTCCCAGTGCTCTGCGGTGCGTTCTGCTCCACTCCCCGCATGGGCTCGCTTGTAACCTGCTGTTGAGGTTTCTTTGTTGTTGTGTTGTGATTACGCCTGGCGCTTGGGGATGCACATGCTGCTTTGGTTGTCTTCCTTCTGGACTCAGTGTGCCCTGACTCCACATGCTCACCTTCGCTCACGTGCTCCCCCCTCTGTATCTCTATCTCCTGTCTCCCTCATCAGGAGTCCTCAAGAGCACACAACCTCCGCCTACAGAGACTCCGTGAGGCCGACGAAGCTGCAGAGAAGGCTCGGGCCGAGGCTCTGGCTCGGTACACCAGCAATGCGGAGCTGCTGCAGGAAATCTTCACCTGCGATGCCACGCAGCTCTCTGGACTGGCCTCCTGTGCCGCCCTGTGGGGGCGTCGGGGTCCCCCTGGTGCCCCTGGGGAAGGCGATGCAAGAGGGGACTGCGAAGGGGGTAAAGGGGAGGATGAGGTGGATGCACGAGCGGCAGAGACAGGGTTTGAGATGCTTGCTGCCGTGGCAGCTGACGGCTTCGGAAAGAGGAATGAGGAAGAAAATGCCAGGGCTGGTGCTCCTGATGGTCTCACAGGGTCGTTTTTAAAAGCGTCACATTCTAGAGCCGTACCACATGATCCGACTTTGCCTTTGACTAAACCTTTTGCTGGGCGTCAAGCAGGGGAGGGGCGATTTGGAGCAGCCAAGGGGGGGGAGCGGTGGGTGCAGGAGGTGGCTGTAATGGCAGCTGACTTTGATCCTGTGGTGATGGCATTCACGAATCAGCTGCCGGGCAGGGATCGCGCTGGAGGGATGCATGAGGTTGGTGAGAAGAGGCTCAGGGAAGTGGGGGTGGAGTCAGGAGAGGGAGAGGTTGAGGAGGCTTGGTGTGGTAGGAGGAGGAGCATGCGGGGTGGGGCGTGGGATGATGTGGCGGCAACAGAATCGGCTCCAACTGTTAGCGCTTCACGTCGCCGATCGGGTCAATGGGCAGGCTCTTTTGTGAACGCTTCTGAACCAGTTGTGATTGACGATGCGGAGGACGAGGCAGGGGAGAAGGACGAGGAAGATAAGAGGTTTGATGAACTGCTGGAGGAGAGGAACAAGAAGATGGATGAGTTTGGACAGATTATGGCATTAGCAGCTGTAGCATCGACTGCAACTGACGTAGGAAAATGTGAAGCACTCTTTGCTTCATGTTTCCCCCAAACACGTTGAAATAGGGATTGATTGATGTCATAGGAAGCGTAGCAACTCTCTAACGTCTAATTATAGGAGTAATGGAATTTTCTACATAGATTGACTAATTCTCAAAAGCAGTTTTTTGCTGTCACTCTCTACTGCGACGCAAACCAATTGGTCAGGTCAAGGTATTTACAGCTGTTTACGTTTGAATATTGCCCCAGACCACTGCGAAGTCGCAACTTTCCCGCGCTTTACTGAACCGTTTTTTCCTGGCCTGGCGGGGAACTCTGGTACGTTTCCACCAGGCGCAGCCAATGAGGCGGTTTGCAAACTTCCCCCACGGACTGCCGAACCAGAAGCAAGGGCATTTCCGAGCCAAAACATGTATGGTGGACGCACACCCAACCTGGAATTTTCAATTCTGCGCGGCGACCATGGGATGGCCATTCCATGGGTTCTGCGACAGCATTCCCTGAGTCCCCCATAACGAACATCCAGAAGACTTGTTCATAAGAATTTGACTCCTTAGCTCAGAGCTTGCAAGATTCTTTTGGCATATGCGCGTGGTTGTATGAAGGCCATGGTGTCGTAGCTCTGTCTCATATCTCTAGTTGCACTCGCTTTTTGTCGCGATCGTGTCGGGCCGCACAAGGCTTAGTTCGTCGCGTTTTGTAGTAACCGAATCTCGCCTTCTGAGGATTTCTAACAGGCCGTGCTCAGATCCTCGAGTAAGCTGAGGCTTGCTCTCTATTTCCGGATCCACCGCTACATCTAAGTTATGCGACTAACTAGACCTAGTCAATTGTCGATTATAGACTGATACAATGGGGTTGGAGGACTACCATGTGATAGAACTAGTAGGAGAGGGGTCGTTCGGCAAGGTGTACAAGGGACGACGAAAGTTCACTGGCCAGGTGAGGGAACGCGAAGGCACAATTCAACGATGTAAATGTTCCGAAGTGAGGTGGATCTTGACGCATCTTTCTGGCTTGCTGCAGATGACGGCAATGAAATTTATTCTGAAGCACGGGAAGAGCGAGAGGGACATAAAGAACCTACGGCAGGAGATCGAGGTACAGAAGTTTTCCGCTTTCAGTTCCGTGATTCGCATTCAGCGCAATTGATCACTTGAACATTTGTCCTCTTTCCCTGAACCGGGACTCCCAAACATTAAGCCTTAAAAAAAAAACATGTACTTTCTTTCTCTCCCATCAGATTCTCCGGAAGCTGAAGCACGAGAACATAATTGAGATGCTCGACGCCTTCGAGACCCCGCAGGAATTCTGCGTCGTCACGGAGTTCGCACAGGTGAGGCAACCTCGCCCCAGTTTCTCTCTCAGCCTTCCCTCCAGCCTCCCTCCAGCCCTCCTTCCCGTCCTCCTTTCATACTCCCTCCAAAATCTTTCCCAGCATCCCCCGCAAGCCTCCCATCCAGTCTCACCTCCAGCACATCTTCTCTCCCTCGCAACATGCGCCCGTTGTTCATCTCCATCATCCTTCTCTCCCCGCTTTCTTCTCCGTGACCATCCACGTTCCTGCATTGTCCGACCGCGGCAGGGCGAGCTCTTCGAAATCCTGCAGAACGACCAGGCGCTACCCGAGGCGCAAGTGCAAGTCATCGCCAAGCAACTGGTGAGAGAAACTCACAAGCAGCTAGTCAACTCATGACGAGCAGCCGATACCATCCCGTGTCGCTAGTCCACGCCCCCCGGCCCAGAAGCTCATCCCCACCTGCTTCGGTCACATCCCCCCCCTTTTCTTCCCCCCACACACCTGCCTTCACCCACCGCCCCCCTCCCGTCTCTCCTCCTCCAACCTCACCCGTTCTAAAAAGCCTTTGTTCCTTCCCCTCCCCCTCCAAACCTACCCGCTCCCCCATTCACGCGCGGGTTCAGGTGCGCGCGCTGTACTATCTGCACTCGAACCGCATCATTCACCGCGACATGAAGCCGCAGAACATTCTGGTGGGCGCGGGCGGAATCATCAAGCTCTGCGACTTTGGCTTTGCGCGCGCCATGTCGTGCAACACCATGGTGCTCACATCCATCAAAGGTGCGCCATGTCGTGCAACACCATGGTGCTCACATCCATCAAAGGTGCGCCATGCCGTGCAACACCATGGTGCTCACATCCATCAAAGGTGCGCCATGTCGTGCAACACCATGGTGCTCACATCCATCAAAGGTGCGCCATGCCGTGCGACACCATGGTGCTCACATCCATCAAAGGTGCGCCATGCCGTGCAACACCATGGTGCTCACATCCATCAAAGGTGCGCCATGCCGTGCAACACCATGGTGCTCACATCCATCAAAGGTGCGCCATGTCGTGCAACACCATGGTGCTCACATCCATCAAAGGTGCGCCATGTCGTGCAACACCATGGTGCTCACATCCATCAAAGGTGCGCCATGCCGTGCAACACCATGGTGCTCACATCCATCAAAGGTGCGCCATGTCGTGCAACACCATGGTGCTCACATCCATCAAAGGTGCGCCATGCCGTGCGACACCATGGTGCTCACATCCATCAAAGGTGCGCCATGCCGTGCAACACCATGGTGCTCACATCCATCAAAGGTGCGCCATGCCGTGCAACACCATGGTGCTCACATCCATCAAAGGTGCGCCATGTCGTGCAACACCATGGTGCTCACATCCATCAAAGGTGCGCCATGCCGTGCAACACCATGGTGCTCACATCCATCAAAGGTGCGCCATGTCGTGCAACACCATGGTGCTCACATCCATCAAAGGTGCGCCATGCCGTGCAACACCATGGTGCTCACATCCATCAAAGGTGCGCCATGCCGTGCAACACCATGGTGCTCACATCCATCAAAGGTGCGCCATGCCGTGCAACACCATGGTGCTCACATCCATCAAAGGTGCGCCATGCCGTGCAACACCATGGTGCTCCGATGAACCTTTAAACTCCATTCAAAGTAGCAAAACGGCGCCGGAGCTAGAGCTTGTTCGAGGCTCCATTCAGAGTTCTCCCTCACCCGCTCCTTCTCCTCCTGCCCTGTCCTCTGCTGTACTGCCGAGCAGGCACGCCGCTGTACATGGCACCGGAGCTGGTGCAGGAGCAGCCGTACAACCACACGGTGGACCTGTGGTCGCTGGGCGTCATCCTGTACGAGCTCTACGTGGGGCAGCCGCCCTTCTACACCAACTCCATCTACACGCTCATCAACCACATCATCAAGGCAAGCCCTGACTCAGGCAAGCACTGGGACTGCTGCCATCGTTGAAAGTTAGCCGCCCTTTTACACCAACTCCATCTACACGCTCATCAACCACATCAACAAGGCAAGCCCTGGGACTGCCGAGTCAGGCAAGCAGCGTTGACAGGTGTTGGAGATAAGAAAGTGAATCTACTACTGAAAAACGAATATGATTCAGCGTGGGCTGCTCAATTTGAGACACTTGAACAATTGTTCATTTTCCCCTCGCCTGGTGCGTCTCAACTCAACCCCCTTATGCTTCCCTGCGCAGGACCCGGTGAAGTACCCCGATGCCATGAGCACGAGCTTCGAGCACTTCCCACGCAGGCTGCTCATGTTGAAACACTTCATCTCCCACACTCAACCCCTCTCAACCCCCCATACCTGGCCATGCAGGACCCGGTGAAGTACCCCGACGCCATGAGCGCGAGCTTCAAGCACTTCCTGCACGGGCTGCTCAACAAGACGCCGCAGAACCGCCTCACGTGGCCCGCGCTGCTGGAGCACCCCTTCGTCAAGGAGACCGCCGAGGAGATCAGCGCACGGGTGAGCGCATGGCCTGGGTACGGGTGCTGCGTGGAGGCGGGGTGATGCCTGGAGGAGGGGTGCTGGGCGGAGACGGGTGCTGGTTGGTGGCAGGGTGCTGGATGATGATGGGGAAGTGGCGTGCTCGTTTTGCTGTCCATACTGGTCAAGATCTTGTATGGCTTGCCAATGCTTGCGTTGATACTAATGCATGTTTGTGTGCTGCTTGGGCTTGTGCGTGGCAATGGCAATTGAATGGCAATGGTATGACAATGATAATAAAATGGAAATGGCAGGAGGAGCGAGCACAGAAGGCGATGGAGCGAGCATGCAGGGCAGCATGGCACGCACGTGCCAGCACGTTCCTTCCCCACCCGCTCATGCCCTCCGCCGCCAAGGAGAACGCCAACGCTGCACCAGGTCAGCCCCCACGACTGGCGCCCTCTGCCCTGTGACCTTACCCATGCATGCCAATCAATCTCATTCTGATCGCTAGGTCGTTGTTGTGAGTGCATAATGAACTCTTTGCACTGCGTGGAAAGGCTGTACCTGGCACTGCGTGGCAAGGCTGTACCTGGCACTGCGTGGCAAGGCTGTACCTGGCACTGCGTGGCAAGGCTGTACCTGGCACTGCGTGGCAAGGCTGTACCTGGCACTGCGTGGCAAGGCTGTACCTGGCACTGCGTGGCAAGGCTGTACCTGGCACTGCGTGGCAAGGCTGTACCTGGCACTGCGTGGCAAGGCTGTACCTGGCACTGCGTGGCAAGGCTGTACCTGGCACTGCGTGGCAAGGCTGTACCTGGCACTGCGTGGCAAGGCTGTACCTGGCACTGCGTGGCAAGGTCGTACCTGGCACTGCGTGGCAAGGTCGTACCTGGCACTGCGTGGCAAGGTCGTACCTGGCACTGCGTGGCAAGGTCGTACCTGGCGCTCAGCTCACTTCTCTCCCCTCCCTTCTCTCCTTCCCCCCCTGTGCCTCCACCAGAGACCAAGGCGGCGCCAGCAGCAGGGGGCACGACGCCTGTACCGTGTCCGCCAGGCAAGAAGGCGCGCGAGCTGCCTCTGCGCAACATAGAGGCCCGCGCCACCCCCCAGAACCTCTTGCCCGCCAAGGGCCCCGCCCCGCCTGCTCAGCCCGCCCAGACACCGGCACAGCCGCAGCAGCAGCGACAGCAGGCGCAGCAGCAGCAGAGGCAGCAGGGGGAGGAGGGGCCACGAGGGGCGAGAGCAGCGCGAGCAGCAGAGGAGATGCCGCCTCCCGCTCAGCCTGCAGCCACAGGTTGATCCCGCCTCTTCCTCTTCGCTCCTCCAATCCAGCGCCCACTCCCAACCCGCCTGCACTCATCATTGTGTGCCGTTGCCGTTCTGGGCTTGGCTTTCCCACGACTGCTCTGGGTGACCTTGTGCATGCCTTATGCATGCCTTACGCATGCGCCATCGAAACAAACATCCTTGCCCCGTGACGACTCATGCATGCCCTCGTTGTATTCCGTGCACACATCCATGGTATCCCACCAGGGAGGAGCTGGCTGCTGAGATGACTGGAGGTGACTTTTGAGGCGCCACAGCTTTTGACTTTTGAGGCGCCACAGCTTTTGACTTTTGAGGCGCCACAGCTTTTGTCTTTTGAGGCGCCACAGCTTTTGACTTTTGAGGCGCCACAGCTTTTGACTTTTGAGGCGCCTCAAAACACATGCATGCCCTCATTGTATCCCGTGCACGCTTCCGTGGTATCCCACCAGGGAGGAGCCGCCTGCTGAGGCGACTGGAGGTGATTCGCTCGTTCCTCCCAAAGGCCGCCTCCGCATCCCCGTGAGTGCCCCACCTGCGCTACTCACACTGCTGCCTCGTTGCGCCAGCCTTCTTACACACACGGCCGCTGCAGCAGCTGCCACACTTCCCATCCCTCCCCTCTTCTCCCCACGCTTCCCCTTCCCTTTACTCCCCTCACCTCCTCTTCACTTCCCTGCTCTCCCCTCCCTCCCCCCCCACCAGTGACTCCATAGCAGCAGCAGCGAGCGCGCTGCACTCCCTGGCATCGCTCGTCACCGACCGCCACCCCTCCGACCCTCCTCTGGACGTGCGCTGCCTGCACTACGACGTGTTCCCCGCCGTCCTATCCCTGCTCGACACGTGTCTCGCGGACAGATCCTCCCGCCTGCAGCCTGTGCTGTGCCCCGCGCTGGCCCTGCTCCGCTGCGCCTTCGCCCTCAGGGCGTCCCTCGCGGGCAACCAGACAGGGAGGGAGAAGGAGAGAGAGAAGGAGAGACAGGGCAAGGGGGGAGCGGGAGGGGGCGGGAAGAAGGGCGAGGAGGGGGAGTGGGATCGGGAGACAGAGGGGGCGTTTTTGGAGAATGCTCTCTCGTTCATCAAGAAATACCCCAAGGTGCGCCGTGCCCCTGTCGCCTAATGTTTCTCATAATCTCTTCTTGTGCAATCAGCACCTAGTCGCCTCCGAAATCATTGTACCCCATGAGCATTCCCACTCCTCGCCACCTAATCTATCCTCATTCCAATTCCCCCATCCCGCCCCCAATGCTTCCCCCCGCCACCTGCGCGCAGGTGCTGGAAGGGCCAGCGCAGCAGTCAGGCGAGGCGTGCCACCTCGCCACGGCCTCCCTCACTCTCCTCCTCGCCGCCTCCTCTGCTGCCGTCCGCGCAGCCTGCCTCCCCGGAGCCTCCCCCCCCGCCCCTTCCGCCACCGCGCCCCCGTCCACTGGCTCACAGCGGCAGCAGAAGGCAGGGGGCAGCACTCGGGACAGGAGCACACGCGGTACCCAGGGAGCAGCAGCAGGCGGAGGGGGAACAGGGGGGCGGGGAGGGGCAGCAGCAGGGGCGGGTAGTGTGAGTTACGTGGATACAGAGATACTGTCGTGCGCACAGGCAGTGGCTGTTACAGAACACATGGCGCGCTGCATTGCTCTCGCAGGGAAGGGGCTTGCTCTTGCTGCACAAGAGCAGGAGAGAAAGGGCGCTAGAGGCGGGGCTGCTGCCCGGGGTGCCGGCCGGGCAGCTGAAAAGATTGACGCGGAGGAGGCGGGGGAGTGGCAGCAGGCGAGTCTGCAAGCTCTGCTGGGGATCTGGGCAGCTGTGGAAGGAATGGAGGCAGCTAGCGGGGAGTGGAGCAGCGGGGATAGGAAAGGCTTCCCGTTAGCAGTTATGCTCGGGGCTGCACCGGGGTGGGAGGGCGTGGAAGGAATAGGGAAGAAGGGAGGGAAGCTGCGGAGGGCTCTTGGGGAGAAGCTTGAGAAGGGGAGGTTTGTGGGCGAGAGGTTGCTGCGACGAGTTGTTGAGGTGATTATCGGGAATGGGGCCAGTGCGAGTGCGGCTATAGCTGCTGCACTGGAGATGGTAGGAGGGAACAATGTGCTGCTTCCCAGGCTCCTGCAGCTGCTGCTGCGCTGCTGCCTCTTCTCCCCGTCCTTCTGCTGCCTCGTGGCCCGTGCACCCATCCCAAACGCCCCCTTCCCCGGGCACGATGGGAGCATTGTGTCGGGAGGGGGTCCCGACTCCCTGCTTGCAACCATCTTCTCCCTCCTCCACTCCTCTCCCGCTGCTCCTGAAGACACCTTGCAATGCAGCGTCCGGGCGGCGTTGGCTTGTCTGGTAGTGGCGGCTGTAGCGGAGGGGCTGGGGTTGAGGGGCCTGCAGGGCGGTAAGTGGGTGCTGACGTCAGACTCGCAGGTGCAGGAGGTCAGGCTGGCGGTTCTAGGGAGGCTGGCAGGGGAAGGCGGATTAGGGGAAGGTGAGGGAGGGAGGGCTGGTGGGAGCAGAACGAGAGGAGCAGCAAGGAGTGAAGCACAACAGCAGCAGGGGATGGGGGTGGGGCCGGGGCGGCCGTCAGCAGCAGCAGCAGCGCTGGCCATGGCAGTGATCATGGAGCTAGAGCTCGCTCAGTCAGGCGAGCGCCGAGGCTCCTTCGGAGGCGGGTCGTGGGGCGGCGGCAGGGCCTCATTTGGCGGCACCCCTGGCAGCAGCAGCCCAGCAGACGCGCCTGACTCTTCAAACATCTCCGACCTTGTGCTCAAGCACCTTCCCCCCCTCTCTCTGCTCTCCTCCAAGCTGCGGGTTGCTCATGCGCCGGGGTATTCCAAGGCGATGGAGGGGTTTGGGGTGTGTAATGGCGGGTGGGGGGAGCTGTGGGGGGGCGCGGGGAGGGTGGTGGGGCGGTGGCACGGGGTGCGGGACGGGTATGTGGGCATGCTCACAGTCTCCCTGCGCCTGGGGGGTCCTCAGGCGGTGGAGAAAGCTCTTGGAGATGGATTGCTAGTGTCTATGATGAGCGTGCTGGCAGGGGGTGTGGGTGCGGGGAAAGGAGTGGGGAGGGGCGGAGCGGGGGAGGCGGTTGAGGGGGAGAGGGCGGCGTGGGCGGCGGGGGAGAGGGGGTTCTCGCCCCCGGACCATGTGGGGCTGTCACCCACGGGCGTCATGTGGCTGCTGGCAGGGCTCTACATGTGCCTGCCTGGTGCGTATCCTTTGCCCCTCTGTTCCACAGCTTTCTCCTCTTGCCCCCCATTCCGTGACTTGTACTGCAGTGTCTCCGCTCTGCTTCGTGCCTCGTTTTCAACTCAATGCCCGATTTGTTTCTCCAGCCTCTCATCACACGTAGTGTTCCTGCTTGTCCCCATGCTCTGCCTCCTCTGCTGCTCCCTCACCTCTCCCCATCACTCCTCCCTGTGCCGTCCCTTCTCCCTTCCCGCTTCCCTCTCAGCCGGTGGTTACCGCGATGCCCTGATTGGCGCAGACCCCATCGACATCCTCCTGAAGCTTCTCGGAACCTTCCACCTGGCGCACCTGCAGGCGTGGGACAACTGCCAGGGGGGGCCGTGGGGGGAAATGCAGCTCGCGCTGGGGGGGGGAGGCGCGGAGGGGTCTGGAGGAGGCGGGGGAGGTGTGAGAGGGGGAGGGGGGGCGGAAGCTGGGCACATGTGGGGGGAAACAGGGTGGGTGATGGAGGGAAGCTTGGAGGGAGTGGCACAGCCGGTATCACTGGATATGGTGGTGGAGCTAGTGTGTGGTGTGGTGGACGTGCTCCTATTCCCCTTCCACGCAGTTGTTGCAGGGGATACTATTGGTGGGGCTAGCAGTGCGGGTGGCACCACCAGTGCTGCGCCCGCTGCTTCGGCAGTTAGTGGGGCGGCGGGCGGCAGCAGCGTCAGGTCGGGCGGCAGCGGGGGGGAGATGGATGAGCTGTCTCGGGCGCTGCTGGCGCTGCAGCCTCAGTACCTGCAGATGCTCCAAGAGGTGCGTGGGTGGGACTTGGTTTTGAGGCGCCAAATACATTGGCGCTGCAGCCGCAGTACCTGCAGATGCTGCAGGAGGTGCATGGGGTGGGCTCGGAGCATCTTGGGTTCCCATGCTGCATGTCGTATTTGTGCTTGAAGCATCTCAAATGGAGACTTCCTACCTCAACATCCACCTGCTCGTCCAGCAAGCCCCATCTTGTTGCAGCATCTCATGTCCACTCTCCTCCTTTCTCCCCCTCTCACATTCCTCGCAGTCGTCGGCCATCCCAGTGCTGTTGGCGTCACTGGCGGTACTACAGGGCCCAGCGCTCATCGGCCCCATCAACCTGCTGTCGCGCATCGCCCACCACTCGCCCGCAGCAGCTGCCCTGCTGGTGCGGCACGGGGGCCTGGACCCGGGGCTCATGGGGAAGCTGTTTGGCATGGAGGAGCCCGAGGAGGGCGAGGGGGAGGGGGCGGAGGGGGGGGACGGCGAGGAGGGGCAGGGGTACGTGATGGAGGTGGTCATGGACGTGCTGCTCATCGTCTCCCACCTTTCGCGGCTCTCCGAGGTGCGTGCTCGCTGCTGTAAGGGGGGTGATTTTCATGTCATGTGTATGAGGAGGCAAGGGTAAGGAGGGGCAGGGGTATGTGATGGAGGTGGTCATGGATGTGCTGCTCCTTGTGTCACACCTCTCCCGGCTCTCTGAGGTGCGTGTATGTTCCTGTTCACCGTCTGCTCATCGTCTCATCCGTCCTGGGTCTTCTTCATTGTCTGCCCATACCCGATACCGCAACCACCTGATTCTGCTCATGCCTGCTATCCCCAGGCCCTTGTCCATGCACTTTCTATCTCCTGTTCCACGTCTCACAGACTCCTCCACTGTCTTCTTTCGCCTTGTTCTCCCCCATGCTCTGGTCCCTCTCCCCACAGGACTACTACGAGCCCATAGCCACGGCGGACATCTACGGAGCACTGGAGGTGTTCCTTGCACACCCCGATGCTGGCGTGCGCTCCAAGGCCTGCAATGCCGTGGGCAACATGTGCCGCCACTCCGCCTACTTCTACCCCATCATGGTGCGCCTCATTTCCCATGCGCTGTGCGGAACGTTTTAGTAGTATCATCATGGCAGGTGCTGTGATCTAACCAATGCATGCATCTGTGTGTGTGTGTGGGCAACGTGAGCCTCCCTTTGATCTTGTGGCGTTTACTTGTGTGCTGATCTCGTTTTGGCCCTGTCTGTGTCGACGGCAGGTGGACTCGGGGATTCTATCGCGCCTCATAGAGTGCTGTGCAGATCATGACCGCAACACACGCAAGTTCGCCTGCTTTGCGGTGAGTGTGACGTTGCATGTGTGTGCATGCAGCACAGGAGTGCGATCTGCTAAGGCCAGAGTCAGTTGATAGGTATATGTATTCATTCTCTGCTCTGTGCTTTCCCTGTGGCCACTGCAATTTGATCTTCTTCGTGTCCTGTCAATCCCTCGGCCTCTCATTGCACCACCTTCTTCTCCCCATCCCAACAGATTGGCAATGCAGCATACCACAACAGTTCGTTGTACGCCGCCCTGAGACCAGTCATCCCGCACCTAGCGGTGCTGCTAGCAGCCGAGAGCGGGCCGCCCAGCAGCAGCGACGACAAGATCAAGGCCAACGCTGCAGGCGCGCTGGGCAACATGGTGCGCAACTCCGGGGAGCTCTGCCACGACCTCATCTCCCAGGGTGCGCTGCAGGTGAGCTGTGGTGGTGATGCAAGGGACAGATGGTCATGCATTTTCAAGATGCTGGGGCCAGCGTGCGCCCTTGGGTGCTCTGCAAGATGTCTGTTGAGAATCTTCATGGGCTGCACTTGATGCTTATGTTGCAAATTGCGAGGGAACACCTTTCTCTCACGTGGACCTTTCTGTGTGTGTTGCAGGCTTTGGTGGACTTGGTAGTGACTGGAACCAGCCAACAACAAACTCCGCGGAGAGAGGGAGGCGAGTCGCAGTCACCGGTTAAGATTGCTTTGTTCTCCCTTGGCAACATGTGCTCTCATTCGGCGTGCCGGGAGTATCTTCGATCAATAGACATCTTCCGTATTCTACATCGGCTAAAGCGATCCGGAGACATGACCATAGTGAAGTATGCCACCCGCATTCTCAGCAAGTTCCCTGAAATGCGAGCACACTAATATACGTGTTTAGCAGCCAATGGGTATGCCGCTGTTATTGTTAGGGTTAATGAATGCAATGAATGCATTGCAATGAGGGCCAGCATTTTGTTGGCATTAGCTTATAAGCTGTTTAGTGTGTTTTCCATAACGCGAGTTTTGTCGCAGTTGCGCTTGGGTTCGAAAAGAACACATCTGTACTGGCGCTGGCGACACCTGGTGCCTTAACCAATCCGAGCGCCTCGTGAAGTCGATCGCACGATTCGAATTCTTGTCCACGACGTCACTGTTCCAGTTGGGCGACATTTTGATTTGTGCGCCACGACACGGAAACGCCAACGGAGCGCGATGCGACGATCTGGACAGTCGTTCACGTCGCACGAGTTCCTCAATTAGGTTCACCAAGGAGCCAAACCCGTCACTAGGAAACAGAATTTCAATTAGCCCCTTTCGTTGGCCGTACTTTTTAGTCCTCTCTCATGTCCGCTTTCACACGTAAGGGCACACGCTATGGTCCTTGATAATCCGTCAAAATGTCCGACCGTATTCCCACCCGACTCGACTTGCCTTGACTGGGACATAGGCTGTGACGTGAACTTTGACTCATGAGCCGTGGCTCCTTCTCTTCGTCCGTCGGGCATATTATATTATAATCGTCGTATTTTGCGAGGTAAAACGGCATTCTGGGAGCTGAACATATGGCGTTTCGACTCGAGCAGTGACATCGCTATAGATCACATATCCTTTCGACAACTAAGCCGGGAACCATTTCTGTCAAAATGCTCGCTATTATGGCGAGCTCCGCCGAAACTTGCCTGCAGCCGCCCCTCCCGCGCGCCTCCGCCTCCTCTCGTGCGTTCCTCCTGCTCATCGCAGCCGTCCATCTCCTGCCCTGGGACTGCCGCGCTGCCGTCCACTCAGACTCGGCCTTAGGTTCCGCGTTGCCTGCGCGACACGGCTTCAGAGGACGAGGCCTGGCCGACGCGGACTCCAACCGCGTTCCTCCTTCCAGCGCCGATCGCGCCAGTCTTGCCGCGATTTACGGCACCAGGGACGCGCTCCTCACGGATCAGCTCCGCAGACAGGCATCGATCACCGGCTTACCCACGAATCGCGTGAACGGAAAATGCGCCCTAGCACGTCTCAAATTCGGCGCAATATACACGTTTGGCGACTCGCTCTCTGATGTTGGCAACAACAACTACGGCCGCTTGGTCAGTTTCTATCGCGCGAACTTCCCTCCTTACGGAATGAACTTTATCCCCGCTAGTGGGAGGTTCAGTGATGGCAAACTCGTTATTGACTATCTCTGTAAGTAACAGACATCCGCGCAAGGATTCAGGCCTGCGTGAATTTCAAGACCCTCACTCTGCTGCACTTTTTGTCTATATCTTCTTGCAGCAGAATATTTTGAGCTGCCCGCCGCCCCTGCAGCCTTCCAGCCTGGCATCAACAGCAGTGCCGCCCAAAACGGGCTCAACTTCGCCAGCTCAGGGGCGGGTGTGCTGGACACCTCGACTCCAGATAAGGTGAGATTTCAATGTTTGGAGGTTTGGAGAGTGGTATTGCTGGGAGAAAGGGATATATGAAGGCGGCTGCGCTTTCTTTTCTGAGTGAAAGAAGTGTTGTGACCCAGAAACTTGGACAGAAAGATGATTCTGACAGGGAAACCCACCCACCCATCCATGGTTGTGCGTGCAGGGCTTCCCACTCTCCGTGCAGCTCTCGAGATTCTCGGAGCTGGGCGGGCTGCAAGCAGCAGACCAAGTGAGTGGCTCGTCTCCCAAGGGGGTGAAGTTCTGGGCTTCAATTCTATCATTGAGTGATTCTACTGTGTGTGTACCCTGCTTTCTGTGATTTTTCTTCTGATTTTTTTTATCTCCCCATCTCCGTTCCTGCTGGAAGCAGTGACCCCTTTCACTTCTTTCTACCCCAACCCCGCCCCACCCCACCTCCTTCCCCCTCATGATACTAGCAGTCCGACTCCCCACCTCTCGCGATCGTGTCCATGGGTACCAATGATTATATCGCGTTTCTTGAAAAGGGGATCAACATGGGCCGTCAGTTGGATCCCTCTGAGCTGCAACGACTTGCTGAGCTGCTTCCGCAGTCGCAGAGCCTGATTACCGCTGTGGTTAGGGGGATCACTGACGCTGTGCGAGTAAGCAATGGATTGGGAGGGTTTCCATGGGTTGAAGTGTGGTTATTTAGAAACATTCCTTCCTCAACACGTCATTCCGCTGTATACTGCTCATTGCCACCCCTGCTACCCAGTACCGTACAACCTTCTCCTTACTCACCTGTCCACACCACCCACACTCAACTCAACTTGCTTTAACTCTTTCTCCTCTCTCCCCGCATCGCCTCCACTTTTCACTCCCACCAATCAGACTCTGTACGCCTCTGGCTTCCGCCACTTCCTTCTCTTCGACACGCTACCAATCGGCTGCACCCCCATCGGCCTAGCAACCATTGCCGAAGCCCGCGGCCAGCTCTTAAATGAGCCAGCTCCCTTATACTGCACCCCTGCAGTGAACTTGATCACAGGGGAGCACAGTGCAGTGCTGGCACTGGCATTAGATTAGATGGTCTACGAGATCAGTTAAATGATGCTACAGTAGTGTATGCGCGGATGCATGGGCTTATGCAGGCAATGTCAGAGAGACCTCGGGATTATGGGTTGAATGTTGGGACGTCTGCATGTTGTGGTGCACCTCGCCCTATCAACGGCCTCGTGCAATGTGGGACGTCGATTTTCATATCCAACGGCACACAATCCTCCACGCCTGCAACGCTGTGCGATGATAGCCAATCACGCACTTTCTGGGATTTGGTGCATCCATCTCAGGCAGCGAATCAAGTGGTGGCTCGAGCTCTGGTCCGTGCACTGCAGGCAGGGATTTGTGATGTTGATATGTTCAGGTTTGCCAGCAATGATAACTGTGGCAATTGAAATGTATTATATACGTAAAGGGTAAGTGCAGCTTCGCTCAGCCACACACACAACCCAAAGCCTGGCAGCTCTTGTGTGCAGCAACTAGGCAATGAAAGAATTAATCGTGCACTAATACAGTAAATCTGATACAACACTCAACCCATTCACTCGCCATCAACCGCGCCTCGCAATTATCTCTCCTCCATTCCTGTCACTACACCTTGCTGTCTGCTGCATCCTTCACCAGATACGGTACGTGCATGCAACCCTAGGCACATGCTTCACCCCCCCACACATCACTCTCACTCGCGCTTGGCCATCTTCTTCCTCCTGGACCGTGGTCGCGACACCATGTGCGGGCCCTCCCCGCCCTCCTGCATCCATGTGCTGCCTGACGTGCATCCCGTGTGAGTGAACGTGCGTGTGTATGCACTCCCCGCGGTATCTGTACCCACTGCTCCCATTGTCTCTGTCCCTGTTGCGGCTCCTGTCACAACACCTAAAGCAGCAGCGCCTGCGACAGGAGCATCTGCCATTGATCCCACTCGTTCCTTCCCCGCACGCTGCTGCGGTCTCTGGTCCTCCACTTCCCCTTCTTGCTGCGCATTCTCCTGTGCCTGCTCCTGCTCTTGTTCCCGCTGTTCCGGCCGCTGCTGCGTCTGCTGCTGCTCTTGCCTCTGCAGTTGCTGCTCCTCCTCTTCCTCCTCCTGCCTCTCCTCGTCTATCCGCCCCAGCGGAGCAGCAGACATGCTTCGCCACTGCTGCCGCCCCACTGACCCTTGCTGCTGGTGCTTCTGCCATCCCTGCTGCTGCTGCCACTGCAGTCCAAGTGACCCGTGCTGCTGCTGCCACTGCTGCTGCCATCCCTCCTGCATCGGCACCCCCCGTCTCCCTCGCCTGTGCTGCTGGTGCGGGTGCAACTGGTACGGGTGGTACTGCTGAGGGCTGGGACCCGCACAGGCAGACACAGAGGGGCGAGTTGGCCCACACTTGGGAACGGGGAAGGGAAAAGGGGAGGGGGAGGGAGAGAGGGAGGGAGGTTGCGGGGGCGAGGAATAGCGGGAGGAGAAGAGGGATGAGAGGGAGGCGACCTTGGCTGCAACAGCAGAATCCAAGGCCCCCTCCCATGCTTCTTCGCCAGAGGCTGTGGCTGTGGCCGCGGCATCATCACAGCCGTTCGCGTCCATCTCAATCTTGATCTCTGTGCCCTGCCCTGCGCTGCTGCTCCCGTTGGCTGCTGGGGCACCAACAGTGGGGACTGCACCAATGCTGCAATCACCATTCTTGGCAATTCCAGCTGCTGTTGCTGCTGCTGCTACAGCGGCAGCAGTAACTGGAGAGGATGATGGGGCATCGGCGGAAGCAGCTGCGGCAGCAACACTGCCGATAGCAGCAGCAGCAGTGGCAGCGGCGGCAGTGCTAGCATCAGCAGCCTTGGGCGACCTTACCAGATTCGCTGTATCCACCCTGCCCTTCTGCCAAGCCCTCAACCCAACACTACCAGCCAAACCTGAACCACAGGTTCGGTAAACCCCGGACCAGAAGTAAGGCACAGAGCTCGCCTCGGTCTGAGCCACATTCCTGGCACTCCACTCCGCATACCCCCCTGCTTCGCCCTCCCTCACTCTCTTCCCCACTCCACCACCCACCGACCCCTCCCTCACACTCTCACCTTCCTCCATCCCCTCCTCCCCCACACCCCCCTCCCCTCCGCTCTTCCATCCCCCAGAGGACCCACAGCGGGAGGACAGCTCGCGGTAAACAGCACTGGCGCTGCCCCTGCCGCCCACGGCGATCTTCGCCCCCATGCCAGCAGCCAGAGGGGTTCCCAGCCACACCGACGTGCCTGCACGTGCTGCTGTGCCCTTATGCCCTGATCCTGATGCTTCCTTGGGTGCTGCTGTGTCTTTGGCCATGCGACCACTGCTCGCTGCTGCTGCTGCTGCTGCTGAGGCAGATGCACTAGGAGAGGGAGAAGCGGCAGCATCAGCAGCAGCGGCGGCGGCAGCGGCAGTAACATGAGGGGGAGGAAGGGGAGGAGGAGGACCGTCTGATCGCTTGCTACTGGCGCCGCTACCAGACACGGCCTGCCGCCCGTACGGGGAGAAGAGCCCGCTGCAGAGCTCCTTGGCCTGCTGCTCCACCGCCCTCTGCCGCCTCCTCTGCGCCGACCCAAATGCACGTTGCGAGTGCGCGTTCAGGGGTGGCGCTGGTTGGTGTGCGAGCGGGTTGGCAGTTGCAGCTGCGGGCGTAGTAGCAGGAGCAGGAACAGGAACAGCTGCTGCTTCTGCAGGTGCGGAAAGAGCGAGGTCCAAACCGTGATGCTGTGAAGACTCCAAGGTAGACGGTGGGTGAGCAGCAGGGGCAGGAGCGACAGGAGCAGGAGCAGGAGCAGGAGCAGGAGCAGGAGCAGGAGCAGGAGCAGGAGCAGGAGCAGGAGCAGGAGCAGGAGCAGGAGCAGGAGCAGGAGCAGGAGCAGGAGCAGGAGCAGGAGCAGGAGCAGGGGCACCGGGCACAGGAGCACCGGAGGCATGAGCTCCTCCCTGCTCCTCTGCTCTTCGTGTTTTCTTTGCAGCCCACGACTTAAAGCTCAACAGTCCCTTGCGGAACAATGGAGACGACTGCACACGCGGGCTCGCAGCCTCAACCACCACTGCTGCTGCTGCTGCTGCCACTGGCGGCGGCACTGCTGTTGCTGCTGCTGTTCCTGCTGGCAGTATTGCTGCTGCAGGCAGGGCTGCGCCCACTAGTTCTGGCACTCCACCTGCTGCTGCACACTGCTGTTGCGACGCTGCCATGGGTGCCTCTTGCCTGGCCGCACAGTGATCCCCCTTGGCGCGCTTTGCAGGCTCACTCACCGCCGTGTCCGCGCCTGCTGCAGTGATTGGCGCAGCGATGGCAGCAGCGACAGCGGGAGAAGGAGCAGCATCAGCAGCCGCAGCAACACTACCACCACAAGCAGCAGCAGCAGCAGTAACCGGAGGAGAAGAGTCAATGGGGAAATGGGTGAAGGTGTCACTCCGGCCCCTTTTGAGCCCCTGCTTGGCACTCTGCTGAACAGCCTCAGGAGCCATGGTGCCAGCAGCTTCTGATGCTGTTGCAGCTGTAGCGGCTGCAGGAGCAGTGGAAACATCAACAGCAGCAGCAGGTTTCACAGCTGTAGCAGGCACCGCCGCCGCTGCCGCCGCCGTCGCAGCAGCAGCAGTGGTGCTGGGTGTGGGCTTGGCATGAGCAGTAGCTCTAGAAACAGAGGCATGGAGCGATCTGCACCGATCCAACGGCTCCTGTAGAATCTCCCAGTGCAGGGAGGAGAAGCACACCTGACTCCTCCCCACCGCCCCCACCAGCGCACACACGCTCCGCAGCATCTGCCTCACCGCCTCGGCCACCGAACCTCCTGCCGAGCCTTTCACCGAGCCTGCTGCCGAGGCTGACACTGGAGAGAAGGCGAGGCCCGGGAGGGAGGTGAGGGGGAGGAGAGAGTCGGCTATCCGAGGGAGAGTCATGAGGATGGAAGAGAAGAGGAGGAGGCGGATAGAGGGCGGGGGGGGCGTGGGGGCGGATTTGCGGATGAGCCTCAAGAGCCATACAGCCCATCGCACTGCTAGGTCTCTTGATCCCTCGTCCCATTTCTGCAGGGTGAGAAGCTGCGCGGAAGCTACCTTGAGGTTCCGCTCCATCTGCTTCGCCTTCTCGCTCTGCTGCGCCGCGACCTTTCCTGCCACGTCAGCGCGCGCATCTACTCCGCGCTTCTCCCTCCCCCCTCCGCTTTTAGCGCCTGGCGCGGACGCCTTCCCCCCAATGCTCAAATCGGTCGGAGCAGTAACGTCAACACCAATAGCAGCATCACCTGCAGCAGCACCAGCAGCCTTCACCTTCCCCTTCCGCTCCCCTCCGCCCGACAAGCGCGAACCCTTGCGCCTCTTACCCTCTCTGCGCGCCCTTCCCCCTCCGCGCGACCTTGAGCTCTCCCCCTGCGACGATCCGCCCGTGCAATCGCTGCTGGCGCACCGGTCAAACCCGCAAGGCTCGTCCGCAACCGCCGCTTTGCCCTTCCGCGCGCTGTCGCTCCGGGCGATCCCACCCCCTGGCGCGCCATTGGCCTTCACGGCGGCGCCTCCACTGGCGTAAGGGGAGAAGTCGGCGGCGTGGCCGTCCGCAGATGGAAAACGCTGAATGGCACCAGCCGCTGCCGGTGTGGCGGTTACAGCCGTCGCAGTAGTGATAACGCGCGGGGCATTTGCAGAACCGGAAGGGGGATGCGCGCCCCGACCCGCCTGCTCCCGCCGCACGCGCTCCATCTCCGCAAGCCCCTCCGCCACCCGCCACGCGTCCGCAATCTTGTCCGCCTGCCACGTCTGCGCGCCGCGCACCGCACTCCCCCCGTGGCGCCTTTTGCCGCCCTTGAGGAACGCTTTAAGAGTGAGGTCGTCGTCGGGCTTTAAGTGCCCCGCGGAACCCGCCGGCTTCCACGCGGGCGGGCGGCGCCCCTCCTCGCACGCCGTGACTCGATACTCCACAGGCCGATGCGCGTCGCCGCCAAATACGTTCTGCGATGGTGGCGGCTGCTGCTGCTCCTTGTCGTTCGGAGACGTCTCAAAATCCCGATGCGGCTGCTGTTGCTGATCGTGCGCGGGAATCTCATTTCCTGACCCCACGAGCTTCTCCCACCCCTCCCATCCTCCCTCTCTTCCCCTCCTAACCCCGTCCCGTGCCGCCTCGCCTCCCTCCCGCTCACTCTCGCGCTCATCGCCCTTCGACGGTTCCTTCTCCTTCTCCTCCCGCACGAATCCTAGCGGTCTCGTTTCAATCACACCCCTAGCATCCTCCCCTCCGAGTGAACTCCTCCCGACGTACTGACCGTCTCCTCGACTGCCCACGCCTTTAGTCACATTGTGTGTAGTCACTCCATCTGCGCATCCCCCAGGATTCGTCTCCTGCCGCTTCTGATGACCCTCGGGATTGCCGACAGGGGAAAACGAAAACCCCTGACCGCCGCAACCTCCTCCCCCGGCCCCCAACTGCAAGCCGTCAAGCGGACTCCGCTCCGCCTGCTCTCTCTTCCGCCCGCTTCCGCTGATGCTTTCGCCCAACCCTAAAGTTCCAGGACCGTCGCGCGTCGGGGACTGCGCTTCTCGAGACGCCGCTTCAGTCGATTGACGGCGCGTCGCGCTCTCGCCGTTCGACTTGCCGCCGACCGACAAAGTAACCTTCTGGTTGGCAGAGGCTTGCTCGAGTTCCTGCAAGAGCATGTCGGCCCACATCTCGTCCCGATGCGAAGCATCAACTCCGTTTCGCCAGGCGCCATTGTTACCACCAGATTCTCGTCGCTGGCTCGCACTTCGACCCCCCGCAAGCCCCCCAATGCTCGCATGCCCAGCGCCACACGGGAACAACTCCGCCTCCGCTTCCCCCTCCACTTCCCCCGCTACCGCCATTGCCACGTCATCTCCGCCTCCGACTAGCACTCTCACTCCCCCGGACCGCACCCTAACACCGGATGACTTCACACCTCCTCCGAGAAACGATGCGAAATCCCTAGTCTTATCGAACAACGAGTCATGCTCGTCGCCAGCAGCTAAACACCTCTTCTGTACTGCTGTCAGGTAAGTCTCGTCAAAACCACACCCGAGAGCCTTCCCGCGTACAGAAAACATATCGTCAGCGGCCGGTTCAGATGGGTGTCTCGATAAAGCGACCCGCTCCTTACTACCACGGCTAGCGTCGCAAGGGACGACCCCTTCTCGCTCACGCACGACTCCTATCGTCACGTCACGCTGCGCATCCTTTTCGGGTTCGCAACCTTTAGCGACATTCGCGAAAGCGCTCCAGAGAATCGTCCCAGAGCCTTGATACGCGCACACGGGCCTAGCGACGTCTGCGACGGTTTTTTCATCGTCGGCTGGCGACTGCGACCTAGCGCGAAACGCTTCAGCCGCGCACGGCTGGTAACCTAGAGGATGCCGAGAGTCACGCCAGAAATTTTCCCAGTCGAATCCGGCAGGGTTTGTTCTATGCAGGGGCGAGGCGGACTGAGACGAGGATTTAAACGAATCGTGTCCGGAAATCCAAATCCCTGCGCGACTGCCGCCACTGCCGCTGCTGCAGTGCGCTTGAAACATGACTGCAGGTATTATTGAAACGTAGTCAGCAAAAAATGGATTTCAACATAGACGCAAGGGAGCTATTTCAGATGCTCTACTCTTAGGTGCCTCCCTAACGCTTCAACACGAACAAACAAGGATTCTTGGATGAAAAATCTGAGAGGGTGGTCTAACGCTAGAGAAAGGGGAACCGTCGTTACTGTGGTGGTCAGTTAGAAGGGTTCGGAATGGAAGAGGAGACGTTGGTTGGATAGGTCAGCAGACGAGAGTGGGCTTGCGGGGAAGGGAAGGGCTGTGCAAGGAGCAGCGGCAGATGGAGGGGGGATGGGATGAGAGTGAGTTCGCGCAGAGCCTTGGTGGGAAGAAACTCCGTCCGCGGAGCAGCCAGGCGGAGAGGGGGAAAGGAAAGTATGGGAAAAGGGGAATGGGAGGGGAAGGTCCGGGAAGAGACGGGCTTGGCGGAACATGGGGGGGGAAGCGCGGGGAATGCCAGAGCTGCGGGAGCTTGCATGAAACCCTAGGAGGAGGGCAGAGGAATAGCATCTAGCCAGCCAACCAGCCGGTAAGCACCCGCCCGCAACTGAACCTAGCCTGTGGCTATGACAGCATGGTCCCTTGGTGGTGCAGTGTAATTTCGATGGTCAGGACTTCAGTGCGGGATTTGTGCGCTGGGCAAACCCATGGGAGGAACGCGCATAGCATTCGCCTCGCCTTTTGTCAGAAGATATCTTCGGCGGGCACGGCTACACCGACAAGGATTTTCGTGATTGTTGCGAGGGAGATGAAGCGTACGATGTCAGCTCAGCAACGGTATCCATCCATACGTTAGCTTGGGGCAGAAAGAAGAAACTCCAGGCGGAACCATATCCACTTTTTATGTGGCCGAGGACTCGATCGCCTTCCAGCAATGCACCTTGCTGGCAAACAGAAAGCCAGATTACGGCTTATTCCATTGGACGCAATTGTAAGGCTCTCATCCCATTGTTGGACATCCTGCACTGTTCATGATGTGATCCCATGCCTCAGCAAATTTCACCAATAAGAAAGCGGAGAATCGAATGTGATTCTACAGCCTGTCAGCATCGCAGAAATTATCCCTTTTCAACACGTGCTTTTCGGAGGCGAGCTGGAAGGAAGCGGAACATTACGGTTGTCAGAGGAATGATGGAATTTCACGCCACCAAAACACCGAATATTTTGTGGTGCGGGCAGAGGGCGAAATACTTGGAACACAAGACGACAGAAACAGCACAGCCAACAGTGCCATGAAGGATACGTTAGCGAGCCGTGAAGATACGGTGCGTTGAAGTTTGCGATTCTATTGTATCTAATCTCTATACGCTGTATGGAAGCATCAGCTTACATCCAGAAGAAGGAGAACATTGCACAGAGAAACGACTGCAAAGGAAAAGCAAGAACAGAGCAAATGCAACAATCGAGGGTTGAGTGAACATAACAATGCTGAAGGGTGGGTTGACTGATAAGAAATTTGGTGAAGCACAGAAATTTAATCTCTTCAGGATTTGTCGTCGTCGTCGTTGTTGTTTTTTTTTTTGCCTGAAATCGTTTTGGTGTAAGGCACAACAGTGTAGGTTGCCTGAATTTTGCAGCAACGCATGGAGTGATATCGACAACCAACACCGCCAATTCTTCGCCTCATGTATCCAACATCTGAGTACGCCATTCTTCTGCAATACGTGCAGCAGAACGGGTTGCCCATTCCCTATTCATCACAATGCCGTGCCCAGTCACATGCAGTGGCCTCACATCTTCCACCAAATACCCCAAACCTGAATGCTTGGCCACCCAGTAAGACAACAGCTCCCGATCCTTACCCCCAGTGCCCAACACAAACTCATCCTGCCACTCCACTAAAAGCCGCCCCGGAGACATGTATAAGGCGTTTGTGAGCCCTGCTCCATGCAAACCCACCATTATATGAGCCACGGAGAAAAGGGCCAAGTGTTTCTCAATCGGTTCGTGTGCGAAGTCACAGCAGGGCACGACACAATGAAAGCCATTCCAACCCATGGCTTCGATCCAGGGATCGATGAACGTAACGTAACGATCGTCGCCGAAAGCTGAGCTCCGGGGGACGTAGACCACGATCGGGCCGCTCGAGTATATGCCTGGGACAGGCAGAGAGGCATGGTGCTGCTGCTGTTGCTGCTGCTGCTGCTGCCGCCGCCGCTGCAGGTCTGACATGTGTGGTCCACCGAGCCCCCCTACATCTGCCACCGCTGATGATTCATCACTGCCCGAACTCCCTTCCACTCGTCCAGCGCTCGCTGCTCTTCGTCCCTTTATCCACGCTGATGCAGAGTCTGGTCCTTGAACCGCGAAGTTGCCACTCTCGGCCGTCAAGGGTCCAACAGCCGGAAGCTCCAAGGTCCTTCTCGGGGCACCATCGCTAGCTTTCGATTGGCTGTGAGGGCCCAAAACCACAGCTCGGGCAGCTGGAAAAATGTTGAAGAGGGAGAAGGCGAGGGAGCGATAGGCTGCAATTACAGCCGGGAACTGATCAAAGCCAGGGAGAGAGGAGGAGCTGTTGTAAAAAGGGAAGGCTGCACGCTGGCCGTACGCCAGGTGGTGGAAGCAGATTCGCCGACTTAAACCATGGGTATCGCTGAGCCGAATCCTGCAGTGGAATAATCTCCATAGAATCGCCACGGCTGATGTGGGATACTGGTTGAGCCGCTCATCCCCAAGGTAGAACAGCATGCACACTCGCAGCCCTTCCTCCTCGCCCTGCCCCCATTCCGCCCCTTCCCTCCCCTCCAGTAAACCCAATCCGCTGACTCCCCTATCCTGCCCCACTGAGTGGAACCCTCCTACGCTGCCACCTCCATGTGATCTTTCCCGGCCTGCTCCGCTACTTGTGTGTCTCTCCATGGTTTCCACTAGCCTCTCTTGCACGCGCTGTAAGAAGCGATCAGTGGATGCAGCAAAAGAAGACGACCCACGCCGGCCAGTCAGACCTTTTCTGCTCCGCGCACTGCCACTGCTTCTCGCATCACTGTAAGTGGCACCAGTGATAAAGCCACCCTCCCTGCCACTGCCACTGCTGCTGCGGTTCCAACTGTCACTCCCTCCTTCGCCACTGCTCTCACCAGCTGCACTCGGTCGGTCAGAGGCAGAATCAGTGCGTGGCGGTACTGGCATGCGGGGAGGAAGCGCGCCCATCTCCAGGAGGTGGAGCATGGCAGGGAGCAGGTTGTTGTTGAGTGCGTGGAAGGCGTTGTCCACGTGCCACAGACTCACCACCACTGCTCTGGCGCGCGTGGGGGGAATGAAGCAGGCGGGAGGGGAGGGAAGGAGGTGAAGCCACAGGCAGGGAGGCATGAAGAGGACAGCAACAAGTAAGGGTCACGAGGGAGAGAGGGGTGCGTTACAGGCTAAAGAGAAGCACGGAGGGGAAGGGGGGTGGGGACAAGTCAAGGGAAGGAAAGAGAAGGCGGTTTGGTAGGATCCTTATAAACTCACCTGTAGGAGCATCAACCTGCTGCTGGCAGCTCCGTTTAACATCAAGTGTCCTGTTGTGGAACACTAATGTCCAGTTAGGACTTTGCTTCTCTCCCCATTCCACCAAATGCCGGTACGGCACAAGCCTGCTCTCCAAGGTCGGCCGCCACCGAGCCTCGCTGATGCCATAAAAGTGAATCTCGGTGCCTTGAATTGCCACATTGTGCAGGTGAATGTTGGAAAATGAAAGGTCTTCAGTTCGAATCCTGGAGCATGCACGTCTGTTCTCAGACCAGACTCCATAAGAATGCACATCTGACGCTTCAAAGTCGCCAGTATTCGAGCAAAAAGCGCTCGCGCTTGTATTTGCAGATTCGCTATGAGCAGCTCCGCTACCGGAACCATTCGATAGAGGCCACCAGCTGGAAAATCTCTCCCCCGAAAGCGCAAACTCGTGCGTAGAGAGGAATTCTCGCGCCAGAAAAAGCAAGCGCAAGGCAACGGCGCACAGAAAGAGCGCGAAGAGGGGGAGATTGTCGCGCAGGTGCGCGTGCTTCCTTCCGCTCTGCCTCCGCCGGCGCTGCTGCAAGAGCTCCCCCGACCCTCGACGTTGCTTCATGGCGCCTGCGAAACTGCCAGCCATCACGCCATAAGATATTGGCTGAGACCTGAAAACGTCAGTTACA